GAATCTTGCGCCCGGTATACACAGCAGGGCCCACCTTGTCATCTGTTGCCTCACGGTCGGTGCTGCCAATCTCCAGTAGAGCGGTGTACCACTCCGGGTGGTCTTCCTTGACTCGGTGAAGAAACTGCTGGCCGTAGGTTGCTTGGAGGTGACTCCTCGAGGCCAGAATGACATTCGTTCCCACAATCAATGGAACAGAGGAGCGATAATCAGAATCAGGGACAACAAAAGCAGGCACAGTTTTGAACTCTTTTCCCAGCACTTTCAAGTCAATTTGCAGGACACCATAGTAGGACACACTTTGACCTGCTGCACCCTCTATGGGTACTTTAGAAGGCTGCAGCTTTTGGTTCTGCAGGGCAGGGTGGTTGCACCAATATCTGTGAGTAATACTGGTTACCTGAGAGCCAGAGTCGATGAGAGCTTTGCACTTCATTCCATTGACTTCAACCTCACCCTCGTTCCGTGGGCCTACTAAGGGGGTGCCCTCTTTTCCACCAATTGATTTGTTTACTTGCTTTGGGGGATCTTGCTGCCCGCCCATGGTTGCCCCGGTTACCATGGGCTCTAAGCGTTTAAATGCTGAGCTGAGTTAGGCCTGTTCTCCTCCACAGGGGTCATAGGCTGTGGTTGGTGTGCCCAGGCCGGATTGGGATCTGGGAGCACTGCTCTGCAGACACGGGCTGTATGTTCTTCCTTCCCACACCGGTAGCATACAAAACTTGAACTCTAGATTGCAGTTCTAGGGGGTGGCTGAACCCTTGGAGGAACCGTGGGTGAAGCAGCAACTCTTGACTCCAGACGAGACAACTTTGCCATCTGCTCCTCTTGGTTAACAGCCAATCTCTTGACCATCTCTGTCAACTCTGACCACTCTGAGGTATTCTTTGACCTTTCTGCCCTTACATTAGTACCCTCTGTTGTAACATGCACCTGGGTGTATGTTTTCTTTGCCTTATTTTGTGACTGGAACCTTTTAGACTCTTTTGCTAGGTTTCTGAGTTCAGTTTGAAGCTCTCGGAAACTGAAAAGCAGGGGCTTCATAGGTGAAATCCTCGTGTAGACTTCCTCATCAATAAGCCCTCTTAGGAGCTGTCGGATAAGTTTGCAATCTTGGTCAGGGAAAGGCCTGCCCCCTCTTTGACTTTCTTCGACAGCCCGCAGTATTGCCTCCAACGCTATAGCATAAAAGCAGGGAGATTCTCCGGACCTCTGGCTACGCTCATAGAAGTCAGCCAGTGGATCTAGAGAGCCCTGTGTGTCACCGTACTCTGCCCTCAGTACTTCAAATGCCTTCTCAGGGGTTTGATCATGGGGGGGTAGGTTCAGAACCAGCTTCCTAGCCTCACCACCCAGGTGTCGCACAGCAGTGGAGAAGCAGAGGTGCATGGGAAGCTCTACTGCCTCCAGAAGGTACTGCAGGTCATGAATCCAGTCCTCTATGAGCATTTTATTGTCAGCATTGCCAGTGAAGACTTGGACATTCTTCACCTGATGGGTCTGCATGAAGCCACCATAGGCAGGCAGTGGAATGCTTGGGTGGGTGAGGGCTCTGCCAGGAGTCCTTTGCAGTGGCTCAGATAGACCGGGTTGAGTGTGGTGAGTGGGATATGGAGGTAAGGGCGCGGACTGATGGAGAAAATGGCGATTACTGCTGACTTGATGGTCCGAAGCAGGCATCCTTGGAGCAGGGGCTTGGGTGTGAGCTGCATAAGTTACATTCAGGGGGTTGGGCGCTGTCATGTTGGGGCCCCATGCACTGGTGACAGAATGTAGCCTCGGGGCTCCTTCACTTTGAGTCAGGTCATGTGGATAATGGACAGCAGCTTGTGACATATGTGATTGGGGGGTTCGTTCATAATCTGACCATCGGAGGGTCTGCCCAGCAGCAGGGGGGTTATTCATAATGTTAATTGTTTGTGGTGTTTCAAACCTTGGTGCGGGTACTTGGGGTTCAGGAGCGGGATATGCATAGCTGGTGTAGACATGGGAGTTACGCTGAATGGCCTCGGTTGGATAAGGGGGGTTAATTGGAGGATTTATGTTGGGCTGCTGCATAGTTCGCATTTCAGGGTAGGCGTTGAGCGGGAAGCTTTGAGGTGGTACAATAGCTGTGGGTTCATACACACTGACTTGGGGTGGGGGGGCAGGGACCATCGTTGACTGTATCACCGGCTGAGAAGCGGCTGCACCCAGTCTGCCATAATCAGACCTGTTAGTCTGGTGACTTGGACCCGGGCTAGGGCTGTTGTCGAAACAGAGCTGAGGTACCTGTATTGAAGCTCCAGGGCCTGGAAATGAAGATACATGAGCTGGAGTAACACGGTGATCAGTATAAGATGATAGGATTGGGGGTTGTGGGGTATTATGCAAGCCTGAGTCTGTGGGGTTCCAGCTGATCCGGTGGTCTTCAATATCAAACTGTAGTGAAGCATTTGCAAACCTGGTGGGCTGGTTGGTGAGTTTTGGCCTCACTGATAGCTGGTGGTTCGCTGTGCTTGTGTCAGCGGATGCCCCTTCACTCAAGAGGTGTGTGTGTTAGTGTTGCACGGTGTACCGATACTTGAAAGGTACCGCGATACCCTGCCGTTAAAAATGTTACGATTCCTTCGTTTCATTAGTATCGATACTTTAAGAATGACGGGGAAAAGTACTCCGGTGAGAAAGCGCTGTTATGTGTGTGTGTTCAGCGCTCTGCTTCCACTCCCTTCACTGCAGCCGTGCATGCAATCCCTCCCCTCTCAAGCACGCTCTAAGTGCCTCCCCTCTCTCGTGCACGCGCTAGCTGCCAGAGCATGTGAGAAAGCGAGAAGCATGGCTGCAAGTGGGAGTGCAACTGCCGCTGCGCCTCGGCTTGTTGACAAAAAAGACGCCAGAAGCGAAATTTGGAAGTATTTTAGCTATATCTGACAGTGAGGTTATGTTCTATTTTTTGTCGGAGACCTCATTGTGATGAATGTAATTTCTGTTGTTTAATATACAAATCTATTTTGACAAAAAAGTAGTTTGAGATGATGCTTATTTTTATTTAATACGAATTATTGTCATTTATTTTATTTATTGTTCTCATTGTTTAAAAGTGTGTGTTATGGTTATGGTTCTGGTGTGAAATAAAGCACAATAATTACATTTAAGACTGTTTCCCTTCGAAAAAGAATCGGAATCGCAATTCTTGACTTGGTATCGGTATCGAAACCAAAATATTGGTATCGTGACAACACTAGAGTGTGTGTGTTTTAATAGGGGAGTCATAGTTGAGGCTCATTGCAGGCCCAGGGAGAGGTTGCAGGCCTGATGCCTCAAGCTTTGATGGGGAATCTGTACGAGCACTCCACATCTGTTTGTGTGTTAACTTGTGTTTATGTGGAAATGTTATTTCTAGTGTATTGTAATGAGTCAAAACAATCAATACAAATTATAATGTCTAGCACAATATCAGCTCGTAATTAAATTACATCTAGAACACTGCTCAATAAGAATATATATGAGATAAACTGGCAGGGGGGGGGGGGTACTGCCATCAGTCTCTCCTTCTCAGCAGTCTCGGAGCACCACAATCCGAGTCACGGCACCAACGATATAACCCAAATGTCCCGTAGCCTCTCTGAACACCATGGTACTCTGCGTTGTGTTTGTTATTGGTGATGGGATGTTATGCAGAGGGGTGGAAAACAGGACAAAGCAGATTGGATTGCGGTGGAGACGCTGAGTAGCGATTTATTCTTCACAATGGCAGCTCTTCTGACACACCTTTTGCGGAGTGAATACAAACATTAGCGCCAAGATGGCGGCCGCACCCAGAACAACAAGAGAAATACGGTGTCCCACAATGGACAAAAAACAACAATTTGCTGCGCAACAGCAACACCTAGTGGCCTGTCAAGGCTGTTACCTTACATATTTAAACAACTCAAACCACAGAAAATGAATTGGCAAAAATACATTTCACAGTTCCAGCTTCTTTAATAGGCGTGTTCACACCGGAGTACTTTTCCTCGTGCTTTTCCCATTTAGTTCCGTTAGTACCCCTTATGTCGCGTTCACACCAAAAAGAGTACTTAGTGCCGGGAACTTTTACCCCCATTTTTAGTGCCTGCTGAGAGGTGGTACTCTCCTGAGGGAAAAAAGTGCCCCAGTTCTGATTTGCTTGGCGAATTGCAAACCACGCCCCGTAAAACTCTGAAATGTTTTGTAGAGCCGCCATTTTATTATTCTCGCATTAGCATTATTAGCATTAGCATTAGCCCAGCGCACAAACGCAGAGAGACTAACTTATGGCAACACAAAAGAAAACATGGGAGCGGTGGAGATGAGGAGGTGTCGGCGTTCTGGCGATTTACTCGGATTTACTGGCTTCAGTAGAAGCTGCTGGGACTCCCAGCAGCTTCTACTGAAGCCAGTCCCCAACTCCGGGGACTTCCGGCCGGGGACTTCGGGTGGCAGTATACGCCGTGAAGTTGTTTGCGGCCTTCCAGTAAACCCAAAGCAGAAGAAGACGAAGTGACGTCAGCGGCTCATTTGCGTAATCTTCCCTCAGAGAACTTATTCCGGTGTGAACACGATCGGCTCTTTAGTTCCATGGGGGAACTGAGTGCTGGGAACTAAGTACGGCAAAGTACTTGGTGTGAACGCGGCTATTGTGAAGATTTGTTGCTGTTGCTTTAAAATCCGAAAAAAATCTGAAAAAATCTTCAATTAGTATACCTTTACTCCTAACCCTCTAAGTACATTTTCTTAATGGTTCTTAAATACTTTTACTTAAGTACGATTGTCGTTGAAGTACATTTACTGTGTGGTATTAGTACTTTTACTCGAGTAAAGAATCTGAATACTTTTTCCTCCACTGACTTGTAGCATGTATAAATGAAAATGGTCAGCAACAATATTTAAGTATGCATGTTAGTTAAGTAGCATTTAAGCCTAACATATTTGAATAAATTGGTATGAGCCTTTAAAAATCCTACAATCTTAATTTTCTTGTCTTTTTATTCTTCACGCAGGTCCACATTACGCTCGTCCAGGCTGGATCTGGTTTAATGTCAGCAGCCTGGACCCCTCCATGCTGGGGGCAGAGTTGGTTCTGTTCAGGAAGACCCTGCACCCCCGCCCCATCAGTGTGACTGTGACCCTGCACAGTGTCACAGCCTGGCAGGGAGCTCTGAAGGAGAGTCCAGCCCTAGAGGACAGACTGCTGTCCCTGGACCAGCGAGCCTCATCCGGATATGATGTGTTTGATGTCTCAGCTGTCCTGCCTGTGAAGCCTCTGGGGGGGGTGGGCTTTCAGCTGCATTATACAGACGAGCGTGGGAGTCTGGTCCTCCATGAAGCCCTCACACAAAGTCTTTACTGTTTAAACAGAGGATCCCTGAGGGAACCCTTGCTGGTGCTTTACCAGTCACCCCCCCTCCACATCTGACTTTGACCACTGCTAGTGTGAAGCTGGTCACTAAATCAACCCCCCCCCTGATGTGTTGCCTATGCAAACTGTTTGAGCACAAAAGTGACAGGACGTAATATGATAATATAATAGTCGCAATTATTCTTTAGGGCTCTTTAAATGTGTATTTGTCAGGATGTGTGCTTTTCTTGATGTAGCCTTTTTATACATTTTCTTCTTTTTTTTTAAATTATTATTATTATTATTATTATTATTATTATTATTATTATAAATAATAAAAACTAGTACCAGAGCATTATTTAGTCATCTTTAGTTCTGAAAGTTTCTACCGAAGATGTTAGTGCTTTTTTCTGTCTGACTTGATCGTAATGTTGTTTCCTTAAATCATGGGAGCTTACTGCCATCTAGTGGAGACCCAGAGTAACTGTAACACAACATTAAGGGATATGAGAAAAAAAGAGTCTTACCAGGGGCCTACATGCTCTGGCTTAACTATTGGCTAATACAGCTAACTGTTATTGATATCAGTATCAATAGTCTTATTAGAAACGACACCACACACAGTTTGGGTGACAGCTGTGGAGATGCGTTGATGGGAGTCTTTAGAACTGGAACTAGGGTATTTCAGCTTCTTAAGAGATAAATCATAAAGGCCTTCTTATACTCCCATGAAAATGAAAATTGTAAAGCTAAGTTTGAGTTTTGGTGACTAAAATAAAGCTATTCAAAATGATTAATATGCCCATACAGTATGAACCATATTCTTTGATTAATCACAGTAGCCCTGCAATAAACATTGATATGTGTTGTTTACCTTCATGTACATGGGTGTGTGAAATTGTGAATACAAATGCAAATGGTTAATATCTCATCAAAGTATATATCTATACAATATATTTTGGCTGCATTTCTTGCATTATGTTTTCCCCATAAAAAGACGGAAAGCCAATTGTATGGTTAAATATCTTCAGTTAAATACCTGCAACAGCCATGGAATTTGGAAATAAACAAAATGACCCATAAATAGAGCTGTCTAAGATTTTCAATAGGTACCTACTGGGTTTTGTGTGCAGTAACCACAACTATTTTAAATAGTTAAATAAGTGATTTTCCACCAATATTAGACATACATATTATTTGAAATTGTTTCTGTTTTATAATGTATTATGTATAGTTTATTGATTTATATTGTAACATTTCTATTTGTTGTTGTCATGCTTTTTTTTGTTTATTTGTATATTACTTAATTTATTCATGTATTATTATTATAATATATTTTTGTAAATGTTTCTCACATGGATGTATAATAAGAACGTTTCTCATCATTCTGGACACAGGAAGTGACCCTTCTTTCCTCTAAAATGATTGGCTGCCTTCTCCGTCTTTCACGTCCTTTTCTAGCCAATCATTGACGACCACCCGCAGCAGCCGCACCGCCTCCTGTAGGCGCAATTTGTCCACTAAACAGAGCAGCGTTTTTATTCTGCGGTTTACTGCGGTGACTTCCCCTTTCTGTGCTGGGTGTTGCCGGTGTTAGCGTCCTGAAACCTTCCAGAATGTTCCCGGTGCCGATGGAGAGCGGCTGCGGGAACATTTGAAGCGGACGGAGTGAAATGCATCCCCGGAGCGCTGAACCTGTTCCATCCCACACACAAAGCCTGTGAGCAGGCCGTGCTTTTCCTCTCACACCGCGCCGAGGATGCTCAAAGATGTCGGGGAATTATTACAAAGGCAATGAAGTCAGCTGCTGCATCAAATACTTCATTTTCGGATTCAACATCCTGTTCTGGGTAAGAAGCTTTATTGTGTTATTTATACGGTCTGCGCCTCTCTCATGTGCACTTCGGTTATTACCATGTCCACCAGCCAATAGGGAGGGAGGAAGGCCCCGATATTGTTAGCATTTTATTATGCTGCCGTTGTCATTAACGATATTTTTCAGGAAGATATCAATGCATGTCTGATTGGCTTCATTCGCTCGATAACATCCTGTCGGAGCTGCTCAGCTAATCGGCTTTTTGTAAACTAATGACAGCTCAGCTCGGTCCGGTCAGGATTATCATGCATATCACCCTCTGAAGCTCCATCATGTCCAACTTTCTTTTTCAATGATTGTGTAACTTTTTTAAATGCACGTGTACTACTTCAGAGTGCATGTAGACATGATGTAATGTGTTTTAAAAAAGTGATGTCATTCATAGCCGACGGTGGTAGTTCACAGCATGACCTAACCTGAACAGTTTGAATGCACACACCATCACAATCACAATACCTTTACTCGTCCCACAGAGGGGAACATTTACATGTGTTACAGCAGAAAAGAGCCAAAGACGGCTTAATGTTGACTAAGAAGCATGCATACAAATGTTTTAAATGCATATAAGTTAGGGCTGAAAATACCAAGTATTTTCGTTGTAAATGTAAAGAATACTTTGCATAAATTGTCAAAAGGTCCTTCACAAGTCGATGCTTTAATGTAAACAAACATACATTTCATCTTTTCTCATTTGATATGTTTACTTGTCAAATGAATGTCCAGCGAATAATCAATGTATTGTGTGATGTCATTTGTTGTGGACAACAATCCCAGGAAGACGCCTCTTTTTGTTTGACAGTGACTTTATTGGAACATACATGAAACATTCATGCTCTATGGTATAGTGCTGAGATATGAAGAGAGAGGGTCTGAGATAAGGAGGCAGGATCTGATCAGGGTCACAGTGTGTGTTTTCATTAACAGTGTGACAGCCTGTCATTATGCCCCCCCCCCCAGTGATCTGACTTGACTGTGGTGTTTTGCAGCTGCTGGGCATGGCCTTGGTTGCGATCGGACTGTGGGCCTGGAGTGAGAAGGTACGTCAGGACCCTGAGGGGTTGTTGGTGATACTGCCAAACAGAATACGCTTTCTACTTACACGCCCACATATTTTTGGGCATACTTATATATTGGTTTTTAATAGAATGTTGTTGTTTTAATACCACTACTTATTGAAAATTAAAGCTGCACTAATCAACATTCTTATACAAACAATGGTAGAAATAAGGGTTTGTCATTTGAAAGGGGTCAGTTTGTGGGGTCAAAGAATCATCTCAAACACTCCGATCCCCTCAGCTCTGCAGAGCCTTTTATCCCTTTAGAGCTTGTTGTGTTGGATTTACAAACTGCAACCAAGTGCAACCTCCGGGTCTGAAAATGAAATCCAAAGCAAAAGGGCCGAAACCTGCAGTCTGTCTTTTGGCCATCAGGGGGCAACTTCGCTAAAAGACTGGTGATTGTATATAGTTTATCAGAAAATAAACCTAGTATCACTTGCTAGTAAGTTTATGGCCTCATACCCTGATTGGAAGTATTCTCCAAATACAGCATGTTTTAAATGATGGGTGCATTTAGAGTTAAAATAGACGCAGGCTAATTGTTTTGTCAGCCATCAAACTCCACTACACACGCTAACAACCCTAACAGCAGACCCAAACTATAGCTTCTATCAGTTTGTTCTACTGCTCCCTATTGGGCAGAGAATCAAAGCAATCAGCTTTAAATTCAATCCTCCAACCCCAATTCAAATTGTCACGCTTAGTTTTCTATACAGTATATCAGCCAATAACCTGTGTGGATAGAAATAAGATTTATATTCAAAACATTTCTCTGAATCAGTTCATGTCCCAAGCAGAGTTTCCGTTATCCGGTAATTACCGGACTATGACCAGTCAAATATGCTGAAGACCGGCAAATCTAAATCTCTCCGGTCAAACTAATTCCCAGTTGCGCCACTTATGTGACAGACAAGAAGAGTACATTCTATTGTCTAACATTTAATGTGGAGAAAGAGATGTATCCTCCTGAAGGGGACATTTTGACCCCTCATGTAAACAAATGCATAATGCTGCGCTATACTTTTCACCACACCCCGTTGCCAAGCAACGCTTATTGTTTAGGAGGTGTCCTTTTGATATGCAGTCATATCATTAGCTAGAACTAGCTAGATCTGATCGATATGGACATAAACACGAGTTAAGTCTAATCTGACGGGAGAGATCAGTTCAGCTGCTGCTGACGGAGACATGCAGCTCTGCATGATCACCTGCAGCTCTACATGATGCAGCTCTATGATCACCTGCAGCTCTACATGATGCAGCTCTGCATGATCACCTGCAGCTCTACATGATGCAGCTCTATGATCACCTGCAGCTCTACATGATGCAGCTCTGCATGATCACCTGCAGCTCTACATGATGCAGCTCTATGCTCACCTGCAGCTCTACATGATGCAGCTCTATGATCACCTGCAGCTCTACATGATGCAGCTATATGATCACCTGCAGCTCTACATGATGCAGCTCTATGATCACCTGCAGCTCTACATGATGCAGCTATATGATCACCTGCAGCTCTACATGATGCAGCTCTATGAACACCTGCAGCTCTACATGATGCAGCTCTATGATCACCTGCAGCTTTACATGATGCAGCTCTATGATCACCTGCAGCTCTACATGATGCAGCTCTATGATCACCTGCAGCTCTACATGATAAAGCTCTATGATCACCTGCAGCTCTACATGATGCAGCTCTATGATCACCTGCAGCTCTACATGATGCAGCTCTATGATCACCTGCAGCTCTACATGATGCAGCTCTATGATCACCTGCAGCTCTACATGATGCAGCTCTATGATCACCTGCAGCTCTACATGATAAAGCTCTATGATCACCTGCAGCTCTACATGATGCAGCTCTATGATCACCTGCAGCTCTACATGATGCAGCTCTATGATCACCTGCAGCTCTACATGATAAAGCTCTATGATCACCTGCAGCTCTACATGATGCAGCTCTATGATCACCTGCAGCTCTACATGATGCAGCTCTATGATCACCTGCAGCTCTACATGATAAAGCTCTATGATCACCTGCAGCTCTACATGATGCAGCTCTATGATCACCTGCAGCTCTACATGATAAAGCTCTATGATCACCTGCAGCTCTACATGATGCAGCTCTATGATCACCTGCAGCTCTACATGGTGTAGCTCTATGATCACCTGCAGCTCTACATGATGCAGCTCTATGATCACCTGCAGCTCTACATGATGCAGCTCTATGATCACCTGCAGCTCTGTCTGCTGTGACAGGGTGAGCGGTGCAAAACACACACTTTAAGTTAGACCTAACACCAGGCTTGGAATTTCGTCATTTTAGGGGCAAGGCCATTTGGCCTTCCCGTTCACATTTTTTTCAAGGGCACAAAGGCCACATGACAGGGCACAAAGGCCACATGACAGGGCACAAACGCCGTTTGGTTAAATTACGCTGGTCAATCAACATGACTGAAAAGTGTAGCACTAACGTCAACACCAGTCGTTTTACAAATGGCTGAATAGCAATAGTGTTTCTTTAACGTATACGTTAAGTTCAGCCATAAACCACATAAGTCAGTCATGTATTATATCAAAACCACTTAGCAAGAAAAATACTAGATTCAAAGGTGACAGCTATCTGCTAGCTTGTAGAAGCAACACTAGATGTAGACCCCTTGAAGGGAAGACGTTAGCGCTATCCAAACTAGCTAGCTATCGCTAGTTTTCATGACAAAATGTAACGAGTCGACTTTAAATAGGCTAATACAATGGTAATTACCTATCAATAGTACTTTCTATAAACACGTAAATGTTAAGTCCTTTCAAATACTACCACATACTTCAGTTCAATCATATCAAAACAGCTTGGTCCGCTTGCTTACCTGTGCTTGTCTTGCTCCCGCGGCTGAGGAGGAGGCTGTCGGGCCCCTACAGGCATTTCTGACGGAACAATCACAGCAGAGCAATCGCTCTGATCCACAGGCACGGGACTATCCTACTGCGCGCACTAATATGACTTTACTAGCGTTGTTTACACTGGAACTTTTGACAGGGGCACCAAGGCCACTTTGGCCGTGAATTGCATTTGTTTTCACAGGGCATCACGGCCAAAGTGCGGGGCAACGACGGCCATGGCCGTCGTGAAATTCCCACCCTGCCTAACACACTTAGCTAGTTTATCTGGAACAACCTAAACCAGTTCTAAATACATGTATTGTTTACTGTCGGGTCACTCGTTACTGGATCAGCCAGCTGCATGAGGGAGAGAGGGAAAGAGAGGCTATCCCTTTGTTATTATTCAAAGTTACTGAACACTTTTGAATAATGTAGTTGATCTACTATAATTAGTTTGTATAGAGTCGTTATCAATTTGTTTTAAAGCTCAATAAATAACAAAGAAGACCTTTGACCGGCACTTTTCTCATTTTGTCCGGAAGATTTCAACTTTAACGGACGTGTTGACCGGCAACGGAAACTCTGGTCCCTAGGTATCTGGTTTAGTATTGTAAATGGGTCTAAAATGAATCAGAGTGCAGCGTGTATCAGAGGGTAAAGCCTTTTCTGTTTCTATGTGTGCTTCCATCCTGTGTGATGTCACTGCGACCCTCTTGGCAGATGTTCAGTCCTGCAGAGACTCTGACCGGTTCTGTCTCTGTCCTCAGGGGGTTCTGTCCAACATCTCGTCCATCACAGACCTGGGGGGGCTGGACCCAGTCTGGCTCTTCATGGTGGTCGGGGGGATCATGTTCATCCTGGGCTTTGCAGGATGTATTGGAGCACTGCGGGAGAACACCTTTCTACTGAAGTTTGTACGTTCCATGACAAGACGTCCATTCTGCGCGCTGATGGGATGACTGATGGAGAAACTCACCCACTGTTTGTCTTTCTGACCGCTGTAGTTCTCCGTGTTTCTGGGAATCATCTTTTTCTTGGAGTTGACGACGGGGATCCTGGCGTTTGTCTTCAAGGACTGGATTAAAGACCAGCTCAACCTGTTCATCAACAACAACATCCGGGCGTACCGCGACGACATCGATCTACAGAACCTCATCGATTTCACCCAGGAATACGTACGCTAGAAAAACTGCATGTTCATTTATAGTTAAACACAACATCATCCTTATTGTACTTCCAGTCAGATCCACTCGTACTAGTATTTAATGTCTACAGAGGAAACCTGTAATTCAGATAAAGCCTCTAACAGTTCTCTGCTCTGCTTCAGTGGGACTGCTGCGGTGCGTTCGGAGCGGACGACTGGAACCTCAACATCTACTTTAACTGTACTGATGGGAATCCCAGCCGGGAAAAGTGTGGAGTCCCCTTCTCCTGCTGCACCAAGGACCCCGCGGTACGAGACCCTCATTCCTTCACTTCTCCATGAACATGTTAGTTATAGTTGTAGCATTAAAATATACTTGACGTACCAAAAGTAAAAGTACTTGTTATGCAGAATGGCTCATTTAAGCACCACATGTTTACAATTATGTTATCATAATTATTGATGCATGACCATAATTTCAACGTTGCACTTTGTAAAAGTGGGGTTTATTTGAATGACTTGATATACTAGTCGGTAGCTTGACCTATAATAATGCATTAATTGATATGTATTTTGTATTAGAAATCAAAATCTGCAAAGTAGCTAGTAACTAAATCTGTCAAATAAATGTAGTGGAGTATAAAGTAGCATAATGTGGAAATACTCAAGTCAAGTACAAGTACCTACATTTTAAACTTAAGGACAGTACTTGAGTAAATGAACTTAGTTACGTAGCACATTAGGTCAAGCTAATTCAGATGTTCCTTTTTGAATCTGAACCCTTCCTGTACATGTCTTTGTAGCAGCTTGTCACATCATCAGGCTGTTTTTAATATACAGCTGCTCTTTGTGTTTTAGGAGGACGTCATAAACACTCAGTGTGGATACGACATCCGAGCTAAACCAGTAAGTCTTCACTCTTCCTCTCTCTTAGATTCTCTTCTCTTATTTATGACTCGGTTGGAGTTTTTGTTCACTTTTTATAGATATTATGTAGCTATTTAGTGCTAGTGATGTTACAAGGGTTTTAAAGGCAGGCTGAAGGAGTTTTAAAGCTGCTAATAGTCAAAAATCATGCTAATGCTAAATCTTGCTATTGAAGACCATGATTTAAAAACTATTATTATTATTTTCACTTCGAAATGAAAGGGTAGGAAAATCTCCGATGTGACAGATGTTACATTTTAGAACTGATTAATGTTAATTTAGTTGTTTACGGGAAGACATGGACCTGACCTGATTTAGCAAGAAATTAAAAACAGATATAAAATCCGATATCCATTCATTATTATTTGAATTCATCTTATTGGAGGTTTAATAGTGTTCTATCATCATGGCCATTACCATAGAGTTTCCATAGTGTTGAGATCTTTCTCAAATGAAGAGTAGTAGCAGACGTCTGAACTTGGACTGATGAATGTGAATATTTTCTCTTTTTTAAACCAACATTTATCTTTTCATCAAGACTGAGTTTTTATCAAATGGTAAATTCTTCATTTGTTTTTCAGAAGTAGGTTTACACATACAAGGGATTAGGTGAAAATGGGCATACAGAGACACAGAAAGAAGAATATGTTTTTTTAAAGGAAGTAGTAAGTTATTTTAAAAACAATTTTAAAGACTATTCTAGAACATCAAAAAAAAAAGACAATATTATATAAATATGTGAGAAACTGGGTACAGTAAAAATAAAACTATATTGAACATTTCTAACCTGCGGGAACAAATAGCCAGATCTAAAGTGCACGATGATGAGTGTGTGTTCCCGCAGGACTCTGAGCAGAAGGACTACATCAACGTGAAGGGCTGCGTGCCTCAGTTTGAGAAGTGGCTGCAGGACAACCTGACCCTGGTGGCGGGGATCTTCATCGGGGTCGCACTACTGCAGGTCATCTCCACTCCTATGTGAAACCTTTATAATGTTCCAGAAAAAAATGCATCTGTTTCAAAAGTATGTGTTTTTTCTTCTTTGATCCACAGATCTTTGGAATTTGTTTGGCCCAAAACTTAGTGAGTGACATCGAAGCTGTGCGGGCGAGTTGGTAAGAAATAAGCTTTACTTTGAATACCTAATATCAAATGTATCCTGTTTTTGAGGCACACTTCCCTTCGATTTGCACCCCGTGTTTCCATTTCACACCATGAGGCACTTCAGCTCTGTCACTGGAGAACTGCTGGAAGAGTCTCATGTTGTAGAAACATCCGGCCATATCAGGTTATTCCATTTTTGAAAAATCTGTGTATTCCATGGTGGTGCTGGATTCTTAAGATGGATTATAGAACTAGTCACAGTTAGCAATGCCCCAAAAATGGTTTCTAAATTGTTCTTGGTACTCACCTTCTATGTGAGGTAATTTCTCAAATGAAACATAATAATAAGCAGTGGTGTGACATTACAAGTACTTTTAGTCAAGTACTGTACTTAAGTTCAATTTTTGGAGATATTGTACTTTATTCTCCACTACATTTATTTGACACTTGTAGTTACTAGCTAAATAAATTGTTAGTGTTTTTACGAACATGATAATATTACATGATAATATAATGTACTATAATAGCTTAACAGTTCCAAAATGGCCATTCTGCATAATGATTATTTTAAGACCATGGTATTTATACTTTTAGTTCAGTAAAGGATCCAAGTACTTTTTCCACCACTGATGATAAGTATAAACCAATGATCTGAATTATATTCTGGCTATAAGAAGAATGCTTGATTGTTTTTTGAGTCTGGAACAGGGGAGGAACCATATGGATTTGTTCCCAGCTGATACCCATAACCGCTAGCTGTAGTAACTGATAATAAACACTCAAATCAAAAAAAATAAACATACGCAATTTGTACATCAAGAATGTAGGGCCCTAAATAACCCGCAGAGTAGGGGGAGTAAAGGTTTTTGAGCTTGATCATCACAATGCCAAACTCACCTCATTCTCCCTCCTCCATGCTTCATCAGGGTGCCCCCCCCCCTCTCCATGCATCGACTTCCACCACAGTCCAGCAAGAAAGCATCGGCTTACTACTCATGAGACACACTCGCACACACATGCTGTATGTGTGTTTGTAGCCGGTGGGTGTGATGGATCCATGTGGGGTGTGATGGATCCATGTGGTCTGTGTTTTGTCTTGCTGTGATTGGCTGGATGTGTTCTATTTAAGGCTGAATCTGTTAGAGCTGCTGGGTGTTCAGTCTAACCTTCAACTGTCCTCAGGAGGCTAAAGAAACTACTGGAGTCGCAAAGAGCTATAATGTGTTTTTCTGTAGACTTTTCAAAAAGCAAAATAGAAATTATAATTGAAATATTAACTATATTAATCACATTATAATAAATATATTAAGTTAGCATTGAAATAATAAACTAATTGCAAACTAAAATAATATATGAAATGTGCGATTCTGTGGTATGAATGTTGTTCTGTCTTTCAAAAGGGATTCAATATCTGACTGATATTCTTTGTCACATCTCATTTGCTGTTTCTATTTTAATATTACTTTATTTAACAGCAGTGTTACACCAATCTTAAAATGAGTCCTCCTGGTGACCTGCAACATATAAGTATGGAAGCCTGTTTGCGCCACAGGAAAAAAAAAAAAATCCTGTAAGTCATTATAATGACTTACTGTCTCATTATATTGACTTAGCTATCTCATTATATTGACTTAGCTATCTCATTATATTGACTTAGCTATCTCATTATATTGACTTAGCTATCTCATTATAATGACTTAGCTATCTCATTATATTGACTTAGCTATCTCATCATATTGACTTAGCTATCTCATTATAATGACTTCGCTATCTCATTATATTGACTTAGCTATCTCATTATATTGACTTAGCTATCTCATTATAATGACTTAGCTATCTCATTATATTGACTTAGCTATCTCATCATATTGACTTAGCTATCTCATTATATTGACTTAGCTATCTCATTATATTGACTTAGCTATCTCATTATATTGACTTAGCTATCTCATTATAATGACTTCGCTATCTCATTATAATGACTTCGCTATCTCATTATATTGACTTAGCTATCTCATTATATTGACTTAGCTATCTCATTATATTGACTTAGCTATCTCATTATATTGACTTAGCTATCTCATTATATTGACTTAGCTATCTCATTATAATGACTTCGCTATCTCATTATATTGACTTAGCTATCTCATTATATTGACTTAGCTATCTCATTATAATGACTTCGCTATCTCATTATATTGACTTAGCTATCTCATTATATTGACTTAGCTATCTCATTATATTGACTTAGCTATCTCATTATATTGACTTAGCTATCTCATTATATTGACTTAGCTATCTCATTATATTGACTTAGCTATCTCATTATAATAACTTCGCTATCTCATTATAATGACTTCGCTATCTCATTATATTGACTTAGCTATCTCATTATAATGACTTCGCTATCTCATTATAATGACTTAGCTATCTCATTATAATGACTTAGCTATCTCATTATATTGACTTAGCTATCTCATTATATTGACTTAGCTATCTCATTATATTGACTTAGCTATCTCATTATAATGACTTCGCTATCTCATTATAATGACTTCGCTATCTCATTATATTGACTTAGCTATCTCATTATATTGACTTAGCTATCTCATTATATTGACTTAGCTATCTCATTATATTGACTTAGCTATCTCATTATATTGACTTAGCTATCTCATTATATTGACTTAGCTATCTCATTATATTGACTTAGCTATCTCATTATAATAACTTCGCTATCTCATTATAATGACTTCGCTATCTCATTATATTGACTTAGCTATCTCATTATAATGACTTCGCTATCTCATTATAATGACTTCGCTATCTCATTATAATGACTTAGCTATCTCATTATATTGACTTAGCTATCTCATTATATTGACTTAGCTATCTCATTATAATGACTTAGCTATCTCATTATAATGACTTAGCTATCTCATTATAATGACTTAGCTATCTCATTATATTGACTTAGCTATCTCATTATATTGACTTAGCTATCTCATTATATTGACTTAGCTATCTCATTATAATGACTTAGCTATCTCATTATATTGACTTAGCTATCTCATTATATTGACTTAGCTATCTCATTATATTGACTTAGCTATCTCATCATATTGACTTAGCTATCTCATTATAATGACTTCGCTATCTCATTATATTGACTTAGCTATCTCATTATATTGACTTAGCTATCTCATTATATTGACTTAGCTATCTCATTATATTGACTTAGCTATCTCATTATAATGACTTCGCTATCTCATTATATTGACTTAGCTATCTCATTATATTGACTTAGCTATCTCATTATATTGACTTAGCTATCTCATTATAATGACTTAGCTATCTCATTATATTGACTTAGCTATCTCATTATATTGACTTAGCTATCTCATTATATTGACTTAGCTATCTCATTATATTGACTTAGCTATCTCATCATATTGACTTAGCTATCTCATTATAATGACTTCGCTATCTCATTATATTGACTTAGCTATCTCATTATATTGACTTAGCTATCTCATTATATTGACTTAGCTATCTCATTATATTGACTTAGCTATCTCATTATAATGACTTAGCTATCTCATTATATTGACTTAGCTATCTCATTATATTGACTTAGCTATCTCATTATAATGACTTAGTTATCTCATTATATTGACTTAGCTATCTCATTATATTGACTTAGCTATCTCATTATATTGACTTAGCTATCTCATTATATTGACTTAGCTATCTCATTATATTGACTTAGCTATCTCATTATATTGACTTAGCTATCTCATTATAATGACTTACTGTCTCATTATAATGACTTAGCTATCTCATTATATTGTCTTAGCTATCTCATTATATTGACTTAGCTATCTCATTATAATGACTTACTGTCTCATTATATTGACTTAGCTAAAATAGGGAACATATTCTTAGATAAAAATACCTAATTTTGAGTTATTTAGACATATTAAGCAGAGCATATTAAGACCAAAACTCATGTACAACAACTTCCTTACTTGCAATAAATAAGCACTAATTAGAGGGTTATTGAGGAAAAACTCTCAACTAATGGCTTATTACTTGTAGAATATGGTCATGTAGAATAAGGCATTAATACGTGTTTTATAATGACTAATAAAGAGCCAATATACTGCTAATATGTTGATTAACAACTAGTTGATGGTGAATTTGTGTACCATAATATAAAGTTGTGCCGCTTATATGATGAACATTGATGTCTATGTGCCTTATTCTGTATTTGACATTGTTTCAATAAAAAAAATATACAATTATAATAAGTCATTACAATGAGATGGCTAAGTCAATATAATGAGATAGTAAGTCATTATATTGAATTACAGGATTTTTAAACAGAATAATTTTAAACAGTTATAACAATAAACAAATATTTAAAACCCAAGTGATTGAAAATCGACATTAATCTTTTCTGGACTCAGGTGCATACTTTAACCCAGTGGTTCTCAAACTGTCTCTGTCATTCCCCACTTTGAACAGGTGGGCCTTTTCAAGCCCCACCTGTTCCTCATCACTCCAATAAAATGGTAGGCCAAGCTTAAAATTGTCAAATGTATCGTTCTATAACAGGGGTCTCCAACCTTTTTTAGGATGAGGGCTACTTTCAAAAAATAAAACAAGTCGTGAGCTACGTTTACTTTTTGTTTTTTTGCAGTGTATATATTTAGCACATTTTAACATTATTATATGCTACCTTTAACCTTTGTGTGCTGTTTGGGTCTGTGGGACCCCTTTTCAGTGTTTACTCAAATAAAATGTATGCAATTTAATTATTTTAACCTGCTTTATTTGGTGGTGGACGTCACATCCTCTAGGCAGGGTCCGGGGGCATGCACCCCCAGGAAGATTTTTTTTAAATGTTGAAGTTAAATGCATCAATCTGGTGCACTTTGAGCTAGGGCTGCTCAATTAAATCGTATTTTAATCGCAATTATGATTTTGGCTGCAACGATTATGAAAACAACATAATCGAAATAAAACAATTAAAAAAAATTTAAATAGGTTTTTCAGTCGAATTATACTTAAAGTTCAGGGTCATCAACTGTTAAAAACATACTTTTCAAATGATTTTCTTCAATAAATTGATGTTTTCAAAGTAAATGGTTAATCGTTTTTAAAATCGTGATATCAATTATTGACCCAAATAATCGAGATTATGATTTTTGCCATAATCGAGCAGCCCTACTTTGAGCCCCACATGAATTTATGGATACAGCTCTCAACACTCAGATGAAAGGGAGCTGTATACTTTTCAATAATCCAAACATCTTTAGAATATGATCACAACCAACAACAAATCATTTAAACTGGTTTATTCTTATCTTATGTTACCTAGTTAGCATTCTTTCTTCTTATTTATGCATATTTGACTAATCCCTCCCCTTTTAAACTTTTTACTGTCCTATAGTACACATTGGAATGATTTCTTACTTTATTTTTACAACTTTATTAAATAGATAAAGGTGTTCTCTCTCTCTCTCTCTCTCTCTCTCTCTCTCTCTCTCTCTCTCTCTCTCTCTCTCTCTATCTATCTCGCGCTATCTCTATGCGCTCTCTCTCTTCTATATATCTCTATCTTGTCTCTCTATCTCTCTCTCTCTCTCTCTCCTCTTCTCTCTCTCTCTCTCTCTCTCTTCCTCTCTCCTCTACTCCGCGCTTTTCATTCCCGACTTGCACGCTGTTGTGTGTGTCTGTGAGAGCGTTTCAAATGTGTGTATGAGAGATTTTTACCAGTGGCAAGCCTGTCTCTGAGGGCCTAAGATATTCTACAAAATAATATTTAAAAACAAATTATATTTTTCTTTATATATATTTTTTAAATATGTTTTTAGTAATATTTGTCATTAGTTTTACAAATAATAACTTGATTAAATTGTATTTAAAATAACATTTCCAAAGAAATAAATCCTTTGAATCTGCCTATTCAGTTTCTGTTTGAATGTGAAGGGTTAAATGAAAGAAGCTCGTCTCTGCGAGGTGAAGACAGGAGCTGATTGGACGTCCAGCTATGAATTCACAGAGGGCCAGCTATAGTAACTGAAGAGAGAGTAATGTCAAATGACAATTGACCAATCATATCTTCCCTCTAAATGGGTGGGCTTTATTATCGCGGACTTTATGACAAGTTCCGCCCGCTGTGAAACGTTTCTTGTTTCCATAGCAACAACAACTGTCAACAGCGTAAACTCGCCTTCAAAATAAAAGCATGCCAAATTACAACTGCAACGAAAGTAACAAACACAATGCAATATCCTTTTAAATTTCAAAGAACACAAATTGGGTTATTTACAGGTGTTGTTTTGTGTGATCGAGGGTCGCTTTCATTGATGCGTTTTGCACCCCGGGCGGGCCGTTGTTTTGATATTCCACCAGTGTGAATTTTTTTTATTTTTTTTTTTATTTTGTATTTTGCGACCCACCTATCACATCTCTGCGCCCCACCAGTGGGGCGTGCCCCACACTATGAGAAACGCTGCTTTAAAGTGAGAGTTGGCACAGTTGTGTTGACTTTGGGAACTTTGATCAGATGTGCTAACCTTGTGTTGGTAGCTAACAAGCTAGCTAACTAGCTGTAGGCCATTGTTTGTCCTTACAAGTATATCAGCATTTCTAGAAGTATGAAATAATAAACTCACCGATTGAGAACAGTCTAAAATAAAGATATTTGACATGTAAACAGATCTTGATAGATGTGTTAACCTTAAACTGAGGTTTGATCTACAGCTAGCAACTTAACATTGTATCTTAGCAGTCTTAGCATTGTTAGCATTGTTAATAAGGTCCCACCATGATACTTTAAGGACCATGAATGATAGTGAATCATGGAACATAGTTGCTAGTCACTGCATGTTGATGACCTTCCTACAGTTCCTATTAGCCATAGCGTTGGGTTGGTTTGCATTCATGAGCCTTCAGTCATGTGGCTTGGACAACAATCCCTTCTTTCTTTTTGGCTTTGCCTCCACTGTGACTTTTTCCAACTGAAGACATTTCTTTCTTTTCTCTCGCTCTCCATGAACTCTTTCTCTCTCCAGCCTGTAGTTTAGAATATTTGCAGAACACTGTTTTCAAGCATTCCAAACCTTAACCCTTAATTTCTGCTTCCTGTTGTGCCCCAGCTTTTATTTTGAATTAAACACAAGGGGGTTGGAGCTTTGTTAACAAGCAGATCATTTAAAACAATTCTAATGATTTCTGCCTTCTATGTCCTTTTTACAGTTTCTTTACCTGATGCTTGAAGCAGCATTTAAACTCTAACAGGTAACCTTTTTTATTACATTAAATGTGGCTGTATAAATCTAGTACTTATCAGAAAGTGATGTTTATTAGATTTTGTCTATTTTTGTGTTGTCAGCTCCGGGTTCTTGAACACGCCCCCTTGAACACATCATGGGGGGGCATTCAGAGGACCTCACGGATCACCTGCACCATTTTGTTCACTGAACCAGCACCTTTTTTCAAGGCACTAATATGTGAAACGCTCTGTATATAACACTGTGTGTGACTTCTGTAAAAAAAGAGAAATGTTGGGGAGGATGGTTAAACACACACTACATGCAGGTCGTCACAATGCTCCAGTTTTGATAGCTACATGTAGAGAGTAGGAGTTTTGATACATCTTTTTGATATTAGATCGGTATTTTTCACTGTGGACATAACGCTGCATTGCTAAACCCATCATGTAGGACAGTGACATTATTGTGAACAAGAAGCTGAGGATCAGTTGAGTGCTCCATGTTCTCTCCGTCACAGGCAAAGTTACAAAACTGAAAACGGGATGTCCTTCTTTTTTTTCAAATTAACACTTTGTTAGATGTTAGTGTGTTACAGCAGATTCAAGGACCTCTTCAGATACAGACACACATTCCTATTTAACCATTGACAAGAATGACTCATTGAATAACCTGCTTTACAAAATTAGAGAGTTCTTGTGGTGGCAATGAATTGTAATTGCTCAGTGACAGACAGAGGATGGATAGTTGTGGGTACTGAAGAGCTAAATATTCTCCTGAAACTTACTTATATAGCATTGAAGGAAAGAAATTGACTAAAAATGACTTCAATTATTTAACATAGGGAGTCACCAGTAGAGCAGAAAGGGATCAGTTAATTTATTGATTATACTGATTTTCACATTTACCTTTGGGTTTTGAACCACTGCTTTTTTTGATACTGTCTAAATTAAAGTACTAAAAACGTGTAACTACATGTCAGATATCTGAAAAAGGATATTAACTGATTTAAATCCTTTTCCAATTTTGGACCATTTTATTTGTTGTTGTATGGTTACTCGTAGACAACATTTAAAGCTCAAAATCGTTCTGGCTTTTTCAAGTCTTATCTCAATACAACTGATACTTCTAAGGTGTCTCCATTGCAGTTATTGTTGCTCTTTTATTCCTTCGTTCAATACTGACCTTCAAATGATCCTTTGGTAGCGCAAACATCCACAGTCCTCACTCCGTGTAAAAACATGCTGTCCACAGTTTGAAGCTAAAGCTTGTACAGTTTTTCAACAGTCAATCAATCAAATAGGCATCTTTGAACCAGTAACTGAATACATCCCAACTCTGAAAGACATGCTGATGGACTCATTTGGACCAGGGTTCTGAAGGTATTTGAACCAGTTTGGATAAAAGGAATGATTATAGCGACCTAAAGCTCAACACATGGTATATGGGTATTATGGCCTTTAGAAATATGAACTTTTTGGAAAATATTGGAAAACTTGCTATTCTCAAAATGAGCAGTTCAAAATGACCTGTGTTGGCATGTTAAGAAAAGGTAGCCTGTCCTATCCAATATAGAGACGACATTGCAAATCTTAAGCAGCCTTTCTTCCTGAAACATGTTTGATCCAGTATGACCACGAAGCGTGTGTAACCTCGCTGTCATCATTTCAGTGTTTAGCTGTCCAGGTTTCACAGTTCTGTGTAGAGAGCCAAGGATAAAGTCCTCTCTCTGTGGTGTGGATCTGAGCATTTCTAATACACTTCATATTTTGAGACAGGCATTTTGGAACATTTTCAATTCTGATGTATACATATTATATGTGTAGCCCATGATTGTCTTTCACTGTGTATTTTTGATCTGATCAGTATACACAATAATGAATGATCTAAATCTTTAAATGTATTCTGGATTGCAACTTAATTTCAAAATAGATGAAGATTTTTCTCAGTGCAGCTTTTGATGGTTTAGGACGATTATTTGCTCAAAGCATGCATCACTTGTTTGGTTTTGCGGTATCTTTTCAGTATGTCAACATTGATATTGTGGAACTTGTACACTGAAAACGTGGAAGTGTTATCTACTTTAAAAGGGATTAATAGTGTTTTTGATACTAAATATTTATTGTACATTTGGTTTTATAACATCTCTGGTGTATTGGACAGCAAAACCTTCATTTCTACTGAAGCCGATGTGTCTCGTGTACATTTCACTCATCACTTCCTGTTCCACTTTACTGATTGTTTAGATGATCACAGAATTCCCCACAAACATTGTAATGTAACTACCTCCTCATCTCCTTGTCTCATTTCCTGTTGAAATTGGACTGATTTTGCCATCAAGTAAAATGTATTAAGGTGACAAAAAAAACCTGAGTTGTTTTGCTTTCTTGTCTCCAGTGATATATTTCGTCCAGATTTGTTGGCACCTACAGCTAACCGATTTGTTTATGCATTGCACTTCCCACACAGCGTCTGCCGGTGTCCTGGACATCTTTGGTGTCCTGCTGCTTACACTACACTACTAAAATAATAAGAAAAACGTTGATACAGATAATCATTACCCGATCCAGTATGAAAAAGGAAAGCAGCTTCCATCTCATTGTGAGATTGACAGGAAAGGCCTGGGCTTGGTTGGGATCCCAGTTGTGTTTTAGTAAAGCATGGGAATCAGATCAGATTCTACTTTATTATCATTGCACAGTGTCGTCAAAATTGGTATAAGGAAGAGGGCATATGCTTTGGCGCCCTTTTTTAGCAAAACACAGATAAATTATCAATAGCAACAAGGAAAAACCCCGCCTACTTTTGGTCAGAGGTTAGGTCAGCTGGTCATCTTTTCAGGTCATCTCATTGGGAGACGCAACGCTGGCCAGCAGGAAACCAAACAGGCTCACTTTCCAACAAAAGGTCTCAAGGCCTGCATACCTACACCTCCCCCACAGAGCAATAAAACCCTGTTTACTCCAACCAGCCCAGAATGTTTATAGCCATTTGTAGTCCTTACATTTATGAAAGGATAAAACAGAGAAATCAATATAAAACACAAACACAGGTATTGTTTGAACAGTATTCACTTAACTGCTACTATTGATAACCACCAGAGAAACCCAAGGGACCTCTCTTAATATCTATCTGGAATTTGCAACAAGACTTTCTGCCATTTCAAATGTAACACATTTCTTAAATATCAGATGATAATACTCTATAATCCCCCTTTTTATCTCCTTCTCCAGAGATAAACTTAGACAAGGCATTTTGAAAGATACCCACTGTCATTCTTTCCTACTGTGTCCGTCCCCCAAACATTGTATAAACCTTCATGGAGACAGAACACCACTTTCCATGGCAGTGAAGGAACCATGAGGGGGCAGCTGAGTGCTAGAATTATCAGCCCCCCCCCCCCCTCGGAGGATTAGCCCACAAGGACAGCTAATAGGGAGGGGGAGATGCGGCTTTCCCTTCACGGGTGGAACTGATCAGAGAGAAGTAGACTCCTCTGCTGCCTCGACAAGTCCCCTGTGCCGTCCTGGCTTGCCGTGTCTTTGTCCCCCAATCCGCTGACAGCAGCTTCTGGGCTGCCTGCTAGAGAGATGTCTTCCTCCTCCTCGTCCTCCGGCCCGCTGATGGCGGCTTCCGGGTCGATGCTGTAGAGATGTCTTCCCGATCCTCCTTCACCGGCCCGCTGATGATGCCTCCCGGGTCGTCTGCTGTAAGGATGTCTCCAGGGTCCTGCTCCTCCAGTCCGCTGCTTCCGAGTAGTCCACGTCTGCCAGGGCCACGTCCGTCCTGATGTCGTCCCCTGGTCCTAGCAGGTGGTTTCCCCGCCGCACACTGGCTCCCGTGGTACGAGCTGTCCCCCTTTTCTCCCAGGCAGACGGCATAAGAGGTCCGCTGGGTCACTCGGTCGGGGTCGGAGAGCCTGGGGTTGAGCCACTTTGTCCTCGTGCTTCTCGGGTCCCCCTTCTGGCGCCAGCAACCTGTGTGGAGAAATCTGATACAACTCCCTCAAGCCTACGCTCAGCTGTTTTGACCCACTTGGAGCCTGTTGGTGGGGTGTCTTGAAACAACAGCCGTCTGTGAACAGGTTTTCCAAATTAATTGTAGACCTCCTATCTGCCAGTGCAGCTTCAGAATCTTAATACTTGGATTGTGCCAACTAAATAAGAACCCCAACATCTTTAGGTAAACTAAATAACATATTTCAATAGCTCTGAATTTCTGACAAGCATCCGTGTTTATTTCTAAATGAAATCCTATTTAAAATCCAAATATAATATGAACTGCTAATGTTTCTGGTAAAGAAACACACTAATGTTATGGATTCAAAAACAACCAAAATCACGATGCTAACAAAGTGAATGATTTCCTGGTGATACTGCTTCTACCTGTCAGTGCTTAGATATTATCACGCTGAAAAAATGAATACAGAATTCCAACAAACTGTCATCAAATGTCTTTCTATTATAAATGTAGATGAAATGTATATCCCCATAATGACCTAAACAATAAAGTCTATGGCTTTTACTTCTTTACCAGGCTAGTTACATGATGTTGTCTAAATTAAATTCTGTCTCAATACACTACTATGTTTTAGCTTTAACTGTAATATGTTCTTTCTACATTTCAAACCTCAGTTACTCTAATGTCTGTTAAAATATTACAAAATTGTCTAACTATCACAGGTCAACTTCTTCGGTATTCTATTATCTCTCACAGTAGCCCCTTGGCCCCTGCTTCTTTGTTACCTGTTATAATTCAAATCAATATTTAGAAACATCTCAACATTCATCAAACAGTATCTTATCCCCAGATATGGAGCAGGTTAATTACATTCAATGCTCAGTTTGAACATCTGGGTTGGGGCGGAAGGTTTCCGTCAATCCTTAAAAGAAAAATTTAAATTGTGAATATTACAGCCATGTTGACATTTATACATTATACATTATACACACTCCCCCCTTTTTACACATGAAATCATGTGTAACAAAAGCCTGTAATGGGAGGGGAACAAAAACTGTCAGGTAATTGGTTAGGGACATAATGAACATTATTATCATTATTTCCACAGTGAACACTTCAGTGAAAAGAAGTGTTCCTCTCCGTCCTTCAGGCCTAAAAGAAACAGAATCTTCAGATTTTAGTTTTACATTTGCAAACCGCCAACTCATGTGAGAGTACCGGGTCACATGTGCGGTTTCCCCTTTCTGTGGAATTTTTAGGAAACCTCTCCTTTCCCTTGGAGCTCCAAAATAATATGTTAGTCCAAAAACATGCTTGGTTAGTTATTGTTTTAGAATCATGCAGTTGCACTGATCACATGCAGACATACACTCACATTCACACTCACACCGTCAGGTTGTAAAGTCAAGTTTGGTCAGGTTCACCCCAGAGTCAGTCATCCACAGTGCCTTGTCAAGTTACACTGTCGGTCAGGGTCAAAGGTCAGTTGGTCTCCGTCTTTTTTGGCCATGTGTCGTGCTCTGCAGAGACTTTGACATTTCAGCATAGGCCAGTATCCTTTGTCTACAAAAATATGTATATATGTAGCGCTATCATTTATTAATTCACGATTTCAACTATGATTTTCAAGATGGTTCTAACTTTTCATTGGGACTTCTGCCTCCCACCTTTCCTGAAACTTGGTACAAAACTCACTTTCTTCGAGTACTACTACTACTGCAATCCATTTACACCTAATTAGTATTAAAATGTCTAATGATCTATTTCAGAAACTTGTGTACATAACTATTATCTTGAGTCAAAACATTACTAGGATCTGTGTCGCTCTGCATTTCATAGCTCATTATACTCATTTATCTTTAATTCTGGTCTACTTAAAAAACAATGTTAAACTCTTTAGCAGTGTGTGGAACCTTGGGTGTCCGAACATGCAACAATTACTCCCTCCTTTATCAAGGATTTAAAACCGAAGTCGTTTTATATTTCCATCTTAAAGCCCTCCTATGGTAATAACTATGCTACAATGGTGAAATCAACACTTTAGATTGGAATTTTATATGTGGCTTGGCACCAGCTCTCCCTTTAACATTATTAATACAAATAAAGATTTGTCTTATAGAGTGGTTCCTAAAACTATCCTTTTAATGGTGATCAATATTGTACCCAATGAGATCACTACTTTATTCACACGTGAATAAAAATCTCTTAAAGAATGATTTGTTAAAAGATTGAAGAATATGGTTCTACTCTGTCATGTCTTCCCCTTTATCCCTCAGTGTGTTTTAGGATGATTCTCATTTTACTTTAATAGTTTCCTCTTTACCGCTATTTTTAATTTACCACTTGATTAATTCATGGTTAATAAATCTTTCTGTCTTTACATATTTATGAAGTTAATTCAAGTTATTTAAATGTGCGTTTCGTGAATAAGTGTGTTTATGTGTAAACTCACTCATTCCCGTTCTCCTTTTCTCCTCCCCTGGTTTTCTCAAGCCGTGACCCCGGCCTCCTCACTTCTAATCGACCATGCCAACTCCTCTGATTCTGTCTTCTCTTCAGTCCATCAGCTGTTGAATCCATCCGCTGTAACTTTTTTAGGCAGCCATTGGCCCAGTTACATCTGCAGCCCCATCATGCCACTGTTGTTGCACTCCTCCTTTACAGTCTCTCTGCTGTTTTTATGGAGGGCGGATTCTGCTCTCATGTCCCACACTCTGCTATTGTGCCAAATCTCGCGGCGCAGTTTGGAACTTCATGTCCTGTTTGAGGGACCGATGAGAGTTTGCCTCTTTGTCAGCATGCTGGTTTGGTTCTGGATGCCTCAGGTGGAGATGGTTCTGGATGCCTCAGGTCGTTGTTGGTTCAGCTCTGGTTCTCTGTCTGTACGATGGAGAAGGAGGAGTCTCCTGTTGGATTAGGTCTTTTGTCTGCTTGGAGGGTCGGGATCGAAGCCTTTCTAACTCAGAGGGGGAGTCCAGGTCTCGGGACACATTACCTATAAGAAGTCTTGCACACTGATGTTAAATAAATCCAACCCTTTCCACTCTGTCTCTTTCTAATCATACTATCTGTCTTAGTTGTTAAATGCCATCTAAACAACATAATTAATGTCTACTAATGATATTACAAAAACTCACAATAAAAATTGTTTCATCCATTGTTACATATTTACCCAACACAACTCTGAAATACTTACATGTTTCCAGCATCACATATTCCACACACTACGAAAAAAACATTCCCCATATTTTCTCTCATTCTAAATCCCACTGTTACTTCGAACAATAGTAAACCTGCAGAGCACACCAATCGGATCACAGTAATGAAATTTGAATCAAGTGTAGGCCTATGTCTACTTTCTGAACATTTATTTATATTGTCTAAATTCCTTGTCTATGATGTGCAAACAGTTTGAGTGTAAAATGTGTTTTTCACAATGTATTTACACTCTACAGATTCTTGAGTTTACTCATCTCCTGGTGCTGTCGTTGTAAAAAATGTTCAATTCCTTATTGTTTTGTTTCCAAAATCAGTTCTAACTGCCGTGCCGTTTCTGGAAAGGTGGCGGTACGGCTACACAATGTGTAAGAAGGTGCCAACATGTTCCTTTTTTAACTTTGATTAATATACTGGGCTATTGTCGTTGTTACTATTAACGTGCTTCCCGTCTTCAATACCGGCCAGCAATGTAATGAAAAATGTCAAGGGTGTGCTACCCCCTTTCAGCCACTAGATGGCAGCAGAAACATTTCAAGGGTGTGATACCCCCTTTCAGCCACTAGATGGCAGCAGCAGAAGTTTACAGACAAAGGGAAACGCTCTTCCTCGATTTAACATATAACAGACCTCTGGCTTTTAGCTTTCAGCCTTGGTCTGTTATTTAACCCCAGTTTTAAACGGCGACCCGATCTAAAATATCGTGTTTCCAGGTTTTGTCGTGCAGGAATCAAACCTCGCACCGAACAAACTGCACCATCTCCACGCCACTCAGGAATAAACTACCTGCAGATCCGCGCCAAACTGCTCTATTTACGTTACGCAGGACTTTCCGTCTACCTGGCGATCAACGTTCACGTTTTGTATATAACTTTCCTAACATAGTAAAATATGCATTGTATATTCCATTTAAACTTTAAAAACACTGTGCAACGCCTACAGACAATCCTAAAGTTTTAGTGTATCCAATTACAGACAGTCGGTTTTCATAACAGGCGTCTGCGTACCTTTATTTGTAGAGTTGTGCGGGGCCCTGCCGATTGTCTGAGATGTTTGAAAGCGTTTGTTCCCGACCCATTCTGGTCGTCTGGATTCTTCCTCAGCTTCGTTATATCTGGCACGTCGAGGGTCACCATTTATTAGAGATTTAAAGGGATAACTGATCCGCTTTTCAAATCTCCACGCGTCCCTATCAAGCTGGTTAATACAGGAAGGAATCCAGAGCTAACAAGTAACCGTTAAACAATAATCTACTTTAATGGTAATATGACAATGCAATACAATCATTACAATACAACATAATATATTACAATTATATTGTAATGGTTAAGGAGTATGCCGGCCTACTCCTGCCCTGGTTCGCGTGCTGCGGAGATCCTTTCGGTCGGGGCAGCATGTGAAGAGAGACCGAACACCAGGGATCTCCAGGAGATATACCAGAATAAGAAGGAGGGGTTAGGGGTTAGGTCAGCTGGTCATCTTTTCAGGTCATCTCATTGGGAGACGCAACGCTGGCCAGCAGGAAACCAAACAGGCTCACTTTCCAACAAAAGGTCTCAAGGCCTACATACCTACACCTCCCCCACAGAGCAATAAAACCCTGTTTACTCCAACCAGCCCAGAATGTTTATAGCCATTTTTAGTCCTTACATTTATGAAAGGATAAAACAGAGAAATCAATATAAAACACAAACATAGGTATTGTTTGAACAGTATTCACTTAACTGCTACTATTGATAACCACCAGAGAAACCCAAGGGACCTCTCTTAATATCTATCTGGAATTTGCAACAAGACTTTCTGCCATTTCAAATGTAACACATTTCTTTAATATCAGATGATAATACTCTACAGACTATGGAACAGTGTGAACGTGGGTGAGACTATGGAACAGTGTGAAAGTGGAGTGAGACTATGAACAGTGTGAACGTGGAGTGAGACTATGGAACAGTGTGGAACGTGGAGTGAGACTATGGAAACAGTGTGAACGTGGAGTGAGACTATGGAACAGTGTGAACGTGGAGTGAGTGAGGACTATGGAACAGTGAAGTGGAGTGAGGACTATGGAAAGGTGGAGTGAGACTATGGAACAGTGTGAACGTGGAGTGAGACTATGGAACAGTGTGAAAGTGGAGTGAGACTATGGAACAGTGTGAACGTGGGAGTGAGACTATGGAACAGTGTGAACGTGGAGTGAGACTATGGAACAGTGTGAACGGTGGAGTGAGACTATGGAACAGTGTGAACGTGGAGTGAGACTATGGAACAGTTGTGAAAGTGGAGTGAGACTATGGAACAGTGTGAACGTGGAGTGAGACTATGGAACAGTGTGAACGTGGAGTGAGACTATGGAACAGTGTGAACGTGGAGTGAGACTATGGAACAGTGTGAACGTGGAGTGAGACTATGGAACAGTGTGAACGTGGAGTGAGACTATGGAACAGTGTGAAAGGTGGAGTGAGACTATATGGAACAGTGTGAACGTGGAGTGAGACTATGGAAACAGTGTGAACGTGGAGTGAGACTATGGAACAGTGTGAACGTGGAGTGAGACTATGGAACAGTGTGAACGTGGAGTGAGACTATGGAACAGTGTGAACGTGGAGTGAGACTATGGAACAGTGTGAATGTGGAGCTAAAGCCATGTCCAGACATTAACCAGTCCAAGAGGAAATACAGAGGAATTATTTTCTCGAGGTACAGGGATGGGGAGGGTGTTTGACTGTATGTATCTATGTATATGTATGTGTATATATGTGTATGTGTGTATGTATGTATGTATGTATGTATGTATGTATGTATGTATGTATGTGTGTGTGTGTGTGTGTGTGTGTGTGTGTGTGTGTGTGTGTGTCAAACAAGTAAAGCAGATTAATAATTAGTCATTATTATTTATAGATTATAAATAAATAATTTAGGGACAAGGGGGTGAGATTAAATAAATTATACTTATTCTCACTCCTTTTCGAACACTAGGTGTGGGACTGTTTATGTTGCTAATGCTGTTGTAAATGTCACTTTGTTTTGTTTTCTCTTACATGACTATGCCCTGCAAAAAATGTTTGTTTTGTAAATTATTTATTTTACTTGTTCGAAATAAATGTATCAATCAAATTGGTCCTGGATCTGCCCCCTGGTCTCCTCCCAGTAGTCCATCAGTAGGCATGCTCCATCATCCCCTCACTGAGAACAAGACCCGACTCCTAGAATTGGGGTAAGGACTCATTCCCTAGCGCAAATTCTATTGGTTTCCTGTACAGCAGTGATTTTCAATGTCAGCCTGCAACGTAGAGACTGGCTAATTCAAACTCAGTCGGTAGCACAATAATGACAGTGTTTATCTGCAAGTAAAAATGCAGACTGGCTTTTGGACAAAATGAATCCAGATCGAGACTAGTATGAGAGGCGGTCAAAGGAAAGAAAAAACGTAAATGTCATTTTGTAACTTTTTTAGTACTTGGTTTGCCGTGGTAAAAAAAATGTACAGTATAGCGGCTCAAAAAGGTTAAAAAACTCTTCTGTAGGGAAACATTGGCCTCAGATTTAGAGGTGCTGATCCAGTTCACATTCTCTCTAAACGTAGCATGCAGAAGAACACGGAGCACATTTTAGAGTTGAACCAGAATGAAGACACCAGCCATCACCAGCTATCATCTTTTATTATCTGCTGAGTTACAATCCTCCAAATGTACAACTCATGACATTTACAACAAACACTTAAGTTTATAGTATTTTACGCAGTTACTATGGATACATCTCCACAGGCATGTGTCTTTAGAAGAGCACAAATCTGATAAATAACCATTCATACCTTTTTTTTTTTTTTTTTTTTAAACAAGAAGAAAATAAGCACAGACCAGGAAACATGGTGGCTGATGGAGCGCCGTAACGTGTCGGACATGCTGACGTGTGCATGTTAGCAGAATTCCCTTTGACTAGAACACCCAGCTGTCCAACATGAAGCGTTGTATGCTGCTGTCTGCACTCAGTATCTGCTCTCACAGGACCCCAGACTTTGCTCCACGACACTCTCAAACTGTACACATGTAGGAACAGTGGTCGCTTGTTGTCACACTTTAAAATGTCCTGCAGTCCAAAACACACTTGTGATTTTCTTTGCCTACTTTTACTTTAGGTTTTCATGTTCTTGGCTGCTCTTCATTGCTAACGCCACGATCTCATGCCCATTCAAAAACACTTTTCACAATTCAAAAATTACCTTTTGATTGGTATTTTCCTTAGTTTGACCACAGTGCTACAAGGAGCTGTAGAAATCTGGGTGCGCAAGATGTTAAACTTATCAGCAAACTGCCATGATTTGATTGGATTGATGTTGTTCTGAGCAACCTGCAGTATAAGACTACCAGCATATTATTATTTTCATTTATCAATTCCCTATTTTGGTCTTCAACTCGGCCGCTCTCAGCTTAACTGGGCTAACAAAAGTAGACTTTTCCCAACTATTTGCTTCACATGGTCCTCAGCGATGGGATGGAGCCTCTAGCTGTTGTATGTTTGCACAACAGTGGAATAAAAAATCTGATCAAATCTCTAGATCTTACAGAACAAGTGCAAAAATCAAAAAGGAGTGTACAAGACTGGAGGTGGGAGTGGGGGGGCAGGCGGTGTTCTGCAGGCGGTGGAGAGGTCGAATGAACACTGTCACACCTTCAACAGGACTAAAACATGCACAGTTTCTAGTCAATCTATTCTCGAGCTACATGGGACACGACTGGGCACATCATGGTTGGCTGCTTTTCTTAAAAATAAAATAAAAATCACAACAGGAAGGTTTTTTTTGTTCTTTTGTGCACATTTTTCACTGGTGGGTTACCTGCGGATGGTCTCACAGCTATGGTCGTAAAGAGTGTAGTCTCTTATCTATTGCGTTGGCTGTTTATGGCGCCTCGGTACACGATGGGCCCAGGGTTAGACTGATGGTCAGTACACAAAGATAGAAAATAAACCAGTAATGAAAGGTGATCAGTGTTGGTTTGTAAACCTGCATTAAGGACGTGCTAACCAACCAAAATAAATGATTATGGCTTTCAGAGTGTTGGTGTCCCACAGTAGTCTAAAAACACTTTCAGAGGCATTTCCACTCTTACAATGATTAAATTCTTATTTAAAATAAAGATTTTATGATTAAGTATTGGCAATCCGGATAGACACCAGTCTAACCCTAGTGGAGGGGGAAGGGAATGACTGTGATTGGCTGGCAGTTAACGAGACATGGTACCTTGGCAAATGAGGATGGGCAGGGGGGGGAGCAGTCATGGGGAGTCATTGGGTGATCAGGTGGTCAGGCAGGCATTGTGGGGGGTGTGGGGGGGGGGGGGCAGTCCTTTAGCTCTGGGCTGTTAGCCGCTGCTCTGTGAGCGACGCCTGGTGGGACACCGTCTTGTTCTCGTGGGCCCGCAGCCGGGACACCACGTCGATGAACGCCAGGCTCTGGACCTCTTTGTGGAGAGGCTCTGAAACAGAGAGGGGGGGGAATGTTAGATAAGAATCTTGTAAATATTAATATCCAACTAAGTAAGACTGATTTGAAAGGTAGAGATGTTCCACAGTGCGCTCTGAGTCCCACCTGATCCCATGGCGGCACAGATGAGGATCATGGAGTTGTATTTGATCTCCGGGGCGCTCCTCTCGTCTGACAGCAGCTTGTGGAGCACCGACACCAGGCTGGAGACCACAAAGTCCTTCTCAGCTGCGACTGGAACACACACCGAGCCCAGATGTTAGGACCACACCATGGGGACAGTTTCTACAGTGTGTACTGAAGAGACTTACTTTGAGGAGATCTTAAATGTGTTCTGCGTTTGTTCTCAGAAGTCACAGGACTCTTAGTTTAATGTTTCATAAGGAAAAGGCAGATAATAAAGAATAAAAAGGAACTCTTTTCCCATCATAAAGGGTTTCTCACTTTTTTTCTTTAAGGTGGATCACATATCTGGCAACATTATTTTTGTTGTGCGTTCAGCGTATTAAGTTATGTATACAAAAATACAAATATAAGAGATTCTACAGATGCTGTATCAGGTGATGGAAATGTCCCTGCCTTCGAGGCAGCAGTGAGAGAATCATTAAGAGTTCATGAAAATGATCACAGGCAGTTACAAAGTCTTTGAATTTAAAAATGTTCCTATTAAATAAAAAGCATCCTGACGTAGAATGCAAAGAGTTTCTGAAGTGCAAAACTAAAACCATAATAAACAAGAGGTGATTACAGATGTGAGATTTATTTCTTCTTCTTACCCAAATCCAGCGCTGCTATGAGCCCCAAAGCCACTAGTGCTTCATTCTGCATAATCATATGCTCACTAGTTGCCATGGTGACTAAATGCTTGACTCCTCCTCCCTGGATGACAGTTTTAACAACTTCCTGCAAAAGAAGAACAAAAATCACAATAATGAATCAATGCTTAGATGGACCTACAGAATGAATAACTATTGAGGTATTACAACTATTTTAAAGATTACATTATATTTGAATTCACTTGTTTTGAATTATTTTCTTAACTCAAGACTAGAAGATTTTAAAGTATGGACTCCTTCAGACAAACAGACAAAGACACCTCCCAAACAATCCAAGGGAATATTTCATTGTTAATAATTTGGCCTTTTTAAAAAAAGAAATCACACTGCAAATATCTATATGTCTGGGAGAAAGAGGCTGTCAGTGCTACGGGAATACTCAAACTTTCAGAAGATGATTGATCGTGCAAGATAAACATATATTTTGGGGGGATTTTGTCACTCCTTTTCTTCTGTGGGGGCCCTGCCTGAAACTCCATGGAGAGTGTGTGGGAGAGAAACTCCCTCTGGAGGGAACACAGGGATTTTAGCCTCTGCAGACCATTTACATGCACAGAAAGCTATAGAACACACTACAGGAGAGGGAGAACCCAAAAAGCAGATTATGGCCTCTTTAATGATATTTTACTCGTAATGAAAACTCCCTATGAATCCAAAAACATGTGTCTCACAAATGTTAAAGCTAATTGTGGCAGGTGTAAAGGTTTTATAAAGCAGCTGCAACTTCCTCCTCCCCCCCCCCAGGGAGAATGTGAGCCTCTCCTCTAACTCAGCATAATGAACGGTTCTTCAGACGTCAGGACTGTGTCTGACCTTGGACTTGCTGTGCCTGATGAGGGCCGACAGCAGCCTGTTGGACTCCCCCATCACCCCCGCGTGGTCTTTGGCTTCACACCACTCCACCAGCCGCTCCACCAGCTTCCCATTGGTTCCCAGCTGGTCTGCGGCTTCAGCTGGAACAGCACAAACACCACAAAGACCAGGGAATCATTATTATCAGTCATTTGCATAAATATACCCATCCATTTTTCCTTTGGTTAAGCGGCATTTTTTATTTCACTCCAATTCTAAAGATGTTCTTTATATGAAACCATCTGTCCACGGTCAGACTTGAGCAGCAGTCTGTGTGTCTTCATGACGGAGAAATGAGACGGCTTAGAATCTCTCATTACCCCACCAAAGCTTAAATAACGCTGAGGGAAAGAGACTAAGGATTTACTTGGAATATTTATCACATTTGCTTTCACACAGACTTCCAACGTAATCAGCTGCTTTATGGAACATGACTACTGACCATGTTTTCAAAAGATATAGAATTCAGACTTTAGGACTTCAGTGGACATATTCGCTGTGAACAATTCAATGGATTTGGTTCCAAGATAAAGACCTGATAAAAGCTCTACCTTGTGTGTCAATGAGCATGCGTAACGTCCCCAGGAGTTTGAACTGGACTGGAGGCATCTCTGATTGCAGAAACTTCAACACCACGTCTGCAACTCCAGCTGACAGCATCTTGGATTTGTTCACCACTGGAGAGAAGAAACAAGTCACATTAAACACAGAGGCAACAGAGCCTTTCCTTATAATGTCCACGTTTAAGAACTCTATTGGCATTATGCAAGCTTAACTAAAGTGTTACGATGTATTCTTTGATTTTCAGAGTATGGCCAAACGTTGTTATGTAGCCTTTCGGAGCCTACTGCCAACATGCTGCTCCGATATTAAAAGCGTTGCAGAATAGGATAGAGCAACTTAGTCTACACAGTGATGTACACACTTAGGATATTTATGCACATGAGTTCTCCTTACATTTGTACAAAGAGTATTATAATAGGCTGATAGTTATACCAATAGGCTTTTTATTATGATTTACTATAAGAAACCAATCAATTTGATGTAAAACAAACATTCAGCACCCCCATATAGCCCAAATGGAATGATCCTTTTTTTTCATAACCATATTTTACCATCACTACGACAACTAGAATAAAGTGGATCTTGATAACGTAGATCCTGCCGTGTGTGTGTGTGTGTGTGTGTGTGTGTGTGTGTGTGTGTGTGTGTGTGTGTGTGTGTCTCACCAGGTATGGCCAGGTTCCGCAGGGCGCTCAGAGCTGCGTGCTGCACAGTGACGTTGCCTTCATCAACGTGCCGGTCCAACAGCTCCAGAAGCTTCTGCACGATCCCGGTGTCCACCATGTGGATACAGTTCCCGTCTGAATACAACAAAAGCACATATTCTGATGGTGTGTCGCATAATGACCAGTCCTTGGCAAAATGTAGTCATACAAGACCATGGCAGTATAATATTTTGCCCAGCCCTGATTCAACACTGTCTATGATAACATCAATGCTGTTATCTTGCTGCTGTATGCCACTTTCCTAACAGACATGCTCAATACTTTACTCTGGGACTTCTTGCCACAAAATTAAACTTACCGTTGCGAGCAAAGTTAGCGATGGCCAGAGCCCCCGCTAGCTGCAGCTGGTGGTTATGGGATGGGATCCAGGACAGAACCCTCTGGAAGACGCTGCCCTTCCCCCCCTCAAACAGCTTCTGCATGGACTCATCTACACAGCGGGAGGGGGAGGGGTTACTGTACAGGGCTGGTCAACGTCACTGACAGCAGATCATTAGGACAGGAGGAAAATGTCCCCGATTACGTTGGGATAAAGGAAGTCATTTCCACTGGGAAGGGGGGGAATATATCCCCTTCAGATTTCAGGATCCTACACAGTAAAGGTCCTACTTTTACACAGCGATGTTAGTCGTGGACTTAAAGGAAAAACTGAGGCACTTTATTTGAGTATTTTCACATGATGCTATATTATAATTTTACTCCACTACATTTAAAAAATATATATATTTAGTTACTAGTTACTTTGCAGGTAGGTGATTAATAAAACAATTGTATTTAAAAATATAAAATCACCACGAATTATAATATATTATCATAGGTTAAGCTATCCAGTAGTGTAAAAAGTCATTCAAATCATCCCCACCTTTAGCACGTGCAACGTTCAAGTGTCCTTTTTCCACCTCTGCTTTTATATCACGGTAACGGTATGCATCACAGTTAGTTATATAAATCAAATTAATAAATAGTTTAAAACATCCACATTGTACTTTTTCTTCTTTAATTTGCATCACACAAGATAAAAGAAACTCAAAAACAGTATAACTACAATTATTTTTAAATGGAGGCTTTAAGGTTTCTGCAACATCACAGCTACATTTCTACCATTACACGGTTTCTACTTTCATTTGACCCAGTTTGGGGGTGATTGTGTTACTCATTGTCCCCTGGCTGTCCCGCACCATAATCCCCATAAAAAGAGAGCAGTCGATACAAATGTTGATACACTCACTGGATTTGCTAATTGAGTCAGTTGAGTCAATAATCAGTGTGCTCAGAGTTACAAGCTCCTGAGCAGCAGACAGGGGGTGTTCCTCAATGTCGAGTAAGGCTGCTTCAGAGCCACTATTTTAAGCATACTACGTCATCGAGTCCCGCCAAAGGACTGTTCCAATGTCCAGCATACTTGGAATTCTACCGAGCCCGGCGTACTTCGTAGCGAGAAATTTCGAGGCTGCACATGTGTAGACTCTGCAGTCTTAAAATCCCCACAATGCTTTGCGCACGGACCAATTTCCCCAAATCTGTGGTGGAAAATGTAAGGCGGGGCCTCTCATGTGACACACACCTGCACACTTGCTCGCCTGTTCCACTCTTCGTTTTCCGAATGCCAGGAAGGATTCTTGCCTCGCTTCTGAAGCAAGACGCTCGGAAGACGTGCTACCAAGCAAGCGTACTCGACATTGAGAAACCTTTTGTTGCCCTGTGTTTGGCCTTTCAGGCTGCCTTATCTGTTCCTGGATCTCATGGGAGTGTTTTCAGCTCGAGAGGAAAACAGCAGGCAATTCTCTAATCTGACATACTGATCTTCCCAATAGACATTAGTATCCTATAATCTGATCTTGGCTTTAGTTGACGGTCAAAAACATGTAACTGCACAGGAAAAAATGTTGTTCACTATCTTACAGTCCATTTATTAAGCACTAGTGGAACATGTGGGCGAATTATTGCTTAATCACTCATTCAATGTATTAACTGTAGTATAGCACATACAAGAATGCAGACCATGAACACCATCATGTGGAATGATGGAAATAATAAGATTAGAGTCCAGTATCTATATTTATAACACACCATGTTAAGGCTATTCCACGGCAATAAAATATTCACATAAAGGTTGAATTATTGATACTCTCGTCGGTGCAGGACAGAATACTGTGTGCATTTATATGTATGGCCACGTATTTGGTTACATTTTGCATTCCATTAATAGAGTTGCTTAATATGGAGGGATAATGATGACCTTGTAGATTTGGCTGTGCTGCAACACTAATATAAAAGTTGGAAGTAAGTGTGAATTTTAAATGAGTGTTACACAAGGTTCTTTTTATGTTCAGATATGGAGGGAATATGAATATGACTGTTTGATTTCAGTATCCTATGGAACTGCTTATATGATTTACATTTAACATTAACTATTTCATGACAGAAGAAGAAGCAAGCAGGTTTGAGGTATATTTGTGATATTAAAATCATTTACTAGGAATTAAAGAGGGCCTATTCTTCTTTTCGGGTTTTCCCTCTCCTGTAGTGTGTGCTATAGCTTTCTGTGCATGTAAATGGTCTGCAAAGAGTTAAATCCCTGTGTTCCCTCCAGAGGGAGTTTCTTATTCGTATACCAGTACTGACCAATCAGCTACCGGTACCAATTTAGTACCGGTTCTCGATACCCATCCCTCATCACATCAGAGCCAGCTAACCAATCAGAGCAGACTGGGCTCTAGTTTCAGACAGAGGGTGAAAAGAGGTGCTGCAGTACAGGCAGTATGAGAACAATAGAGCTTTTTGAACATTAAAGCATGGAGACATGTAGAGACACTACATACTGATATACACCTGAACATCAGCAGGAGAGGACTCTTTAAAGTAGAGACACTACATACTGATATACACCTGAACATCAGCAGGAGAGGACTCTTAAAGTAGAGACACTACATACTGATATACACCTGAACCTCAGCAGGAGAGGACTCTTTAAAGTAGAGACACTACATACTGATATACACCTGAACATCAGCAGGAGAGGACTCTTTAAAGTAGAGACACTACATACTGATATACACCTGAACCTCAGCAGGAGAGGACTCTTTAAAGTAGAGACACTACATACTGATATACACCTGAACATCAGCAGGAGAGGACTCTTTAAAGTAGAGACCACTACATACTGATATACACCTGAACCTCAGCAGGAGAGGACTCTTTAAAGTAGAGACACTACATACTGATATACACCTGAACATCAGCAGGAGAGGACTCTTTAAAGTAGAGACACTACATACTGATATACACCTGAACATCAGCAGGAGAGGACTCTTTAAAGTAGAGACACTACATACTGATATACACCTGGATATCAGCAGGAGAGGACTCTTTAAAGTAGAGACACTACATACTGATATACACCTGAACATCAGCAGGAGAGGACTCTTTAAAGTAGAGACACTACATACTGATATACACCTGAACATCAGCAGGAGAGGACTCTTTAAAGTAGAGACACTACATACTGATATACACCTGAACATCAGCAGGAGAGGACTCTTTAAAGTAGAGACACTACATACTGATATACACCTGAACATCAGCAGGAGAGGACTCTTTAAAGTAGAGACACTACATACTGATATACACCTGAACCTCAGCAGGAGAGGACTCTTTAAAGTAGAGACACTACATACTGATATACACCTGAACCTCAGCAGGAGAGGACTCTTTAAAGTAGAGACACTACATACTGATATACACCTGAACATCAGCAGGAGAGGACTCTTTAAAGTAGAGACACTACATACTGATATACACCTGGATATCAGCAGGAGAGGACTCTTTAAAGTAGAGACACTACATACTGATATACACCTGAACATCAGCAGGAGAGGACTCTTTAAAGTAGAGACACTACATACTGATATACACCTGAACATCAGCAGGAGAGGACTCTTTAAAGTAGAGACACTACATACTGATATACACCTGAACATCAGCAGGAGAGGACTCTTTAAAGTAGAGACACTACATACTGATATACACCTGAACATCAGCAGGAGAGGACTCTTTAAAGTAGAGACACTACATACTGATATACACCTGAACATCAGCAGGAGAGGACTCTTTAAAGTAGAGACACTACATACTGATATACACCTGAACATCAGCAGGAGAGGACTCTTTAAAGTAGAGACACTACATACTGATATACACCTGAACATCAGCAGGAGAGGACTCTTTAAAGTAGAGACACTACATACTGATATACACCTGAACATCAGCAGGAGAGGACTCTTTAAAGTAGAGACACTACATACTGATATACACCTGAACATCAGCAGGAGAGGACTCTTTAAGTAGAGACACTAAATACTGATATACACCTGAACATCAGCAGGAGAGGACTCTTTAAAGTAGAGACATCTACATACTGATATACACCTGAACATCAGCAGGAGAGGACTCTTTAAAGTAGAGACACTACATACTGATATACACTGAACATCAGCAGGAGAGGACTCTTTAAAGTAGAGACACTACATACTGATATACACCTGAACATCAGCAGGAGAGGACTCTTTAAAGTAGAGACACTACATACTGATAACACCTGAACATCAGCAGGAGAGGACTCTTTAAAGTAGAGACACTACATACTGATATACACCTGAACATCAGCAGGAGAGGACTCTTTAAAGTAGAGACACTACATACTGATATACACCTGAACATCAGCAGGAGAGGACTCTTTAAAGTAGAGACACTACATACTGATATACACCTGAACATCAGCAGGAGAGGACTCTTTAAAGTAGAGACACTACATACTGATATACACCTGAACATCAGCAGGAGAGGACTCTTTAAAGTAGAGACACTACATACTGATATACACCTGAACATCAGCAGGAGAGGACTCTTTAAAGTAGAGACACTACATACTGATATACACCTGAACATCAGCAGGAGAGGACTCTTTAAAGTAGAGACACTACATACTGATATACACCTGAACATCAGCAGGAGAGGACTCTTTGAAGTAGAGACACTACATACTGATATACACCTGAACATCAGCAGGAGAGGACTCTTTAAAGTAGAGACACTACATACTGATATACACCTGAACATCAGCAGGAGAGGACTCTTTAAAGTAGAGACACTACATACTGATATACACCTGAACATCAGCAGGAGAGGACTCTTTGAAGTAGAGACACTACATACTGATATACACCTGAACATCAGCAGGAGAGGACTCTTTAAAAGTAGAGACACTACATACTGATATACACCTGAACATCAGCAGGAGAGGACTCTTTAAAGTAGAGACACTACATACTGATATACACCTGAACATCAGCAGGAGAGGACTCTTTAAAGTAGAGACACTACATACTGATATACACCTGAACATCAGCAGGAGAGGACTCTTTAAAGTAGAGACACTACATACTGATATACACCTGAACATCAGCAGGAGAGGACTCTTTAAAGTAGAGACACTACATACTGATATACACCTGAACATCAGCAGGAGAGGACTCTTAAAGTAGAGACACTGCATACTGATATACACCTGAACATGCAGCAGGAGAGGACTCTTTAAAGTAGAGACACTACATACTGATATACACCTGAACATCAGCAGGAGAGGACTCTTTAAAGTAGAGACACTACATACTGATATACACCTGAACATCAGCAGGAGAGGACTCTTTAAAGTAGAGACACTGCATACTGATATGCACCTGAACATCAGCAGGAGAGGACTCTTTAAAGTAGAGACACTAATACTGATATACACCTGAACATCAGCAGGAGAGGACTCTTTAAAGTAGAGACACTACATACTGATATACACCTGAACATCAGCAGGAGAGGACTCTTTGAAAGTAGAGACACTACATACTGATATACACCTGAACATCAGCAGGAGAGGACTCTTTAAAGTAGAGGACACTACATACTGATATACACCTGAACATCAGCAGGAGAGGACTCTTTAAAGTAGAGACACTAATACTGATATACACCTGAACATCAGCAGGAGAGGACTCTTTAAAGTAGAGACACTACATACTGATATACACCTGAACATCAGCAGGAGAGGACTCTTTAAAGTAGAGACGCTACATACTGATATACACCTGAACATCAGCAGGAGAGGACTCTTTAAAGTAGAGACACTACATACTGATATACACCTGAACATCAGCAGGACAGGGACTCTTTAAAGTAGAGACACTACATACTGATATACACCTGAACATCAGCAGGAGAGGACTCTTTAAAGTAGAGACACTACATACTGATATACACCTGAACATCAGCAGGAGAGGACTCTTTAAAGTAGAGACACTAAATACTGATATACACCTGAACATCAGCAGGAGAGGACTCTTTAAGTAGAGACACTACATACTGATATACACCTGAACATCAGCAGGAGAGGACTCTTTAAAGTAGAGACACTAATACTGATATACACCTGAACATCAGCAGGAGAGGACTCTTTAAAGTAGAGACACTACATACTGATATACACCTGACATCAGCAGGAGAGGATCTCTTTAAAGTAGAGACACTACATACTGATATACACCTGAACATCAGCAGGAGAGGACTCTTTAAAGTAGAGACACTACATACTGAAACACCTGAACATCAGCAGGAGAGGACTCTTTAAAGTAGAGACACTACATACTGATATACACCTGAACATCAGCAGGAGAGGACTCTTTAAAGTAGAGACACTACATACTGATATACACCTGAACATCAGCAGGAGAGGACTCTTTAAAGTAGAGACACTACATACTGATATACACCTGAACATCAGCAGGAGAGGACTCTTTAAAGTAGAGACACTACATACTGATATACACCTGAATATCAGCAGGAGAGGACTCTTTAAAGTAGAGACACTACATACTGATATACACCTGAACATCAGCAGGAGAGGACTCTTTGAAGTAGAGACACTACATGCTGATATACACCTGAACATCAGCAGGAGAGGACTCTTTAAAGTAGAGACACTACATACTGATATACACCTGAACATCAGCAGGAGAGGACTCTTTAAAGTAGAGACACTACATACTGATATACACCTGAACATCAGCAGGAGAGGACTCTTTAAAGTAGAGACACTACATACTGATATACACCTGAACATCAGCAGGAGAGGACTCTTTAAAGTAGAGACACTACATACTGATATACAACCTGAACATCAGCAGGAGAGGACTCTTTAAAGTAGAGACACTTACATACTGATATACACCTGAACATCAGCAGGAGAGGACTCTTTAAAGTAGAGACACTACATACTGATAGACACTGAACATCAGCAGGAGAGGACTCTTTGAAGTAGAGACACTACATACTGATATACACCTGAACATCAGCAGGAGAGGACTCTTTAAAGTAGAGACACTACATACTGATATACACCTGAACATCAGCAGGAGAGGACTCTTTAAAGTAGAGACACTACATACTGATATACACCTGAACATCAGCAGGAGAGGACTCTTTAAGTAGAGACACTACATACTGATATACACCTGAACATCAGCAGGAGAGGACTCTTTAAAGTAGAGACACTACATACTGATATACACCTGAACATCAGCAGGAGAGGACTCTTTAAAGTAGAGACGCTACATACTGATATACACCTGAACATCAGCAGGAGAGGACTCTTTAAAGTAGAGACACTACATACTGATATACACCTGAACATCAGCAGGAGAGGACTCTTTAAAGTAGAGACACTACATACTGATATACACCTGAACATCAGCAGGAGAGGACTCTTTAAAGTAGAGACACTACATACTGATATACACCTGAACATCAGCAGGAGAGGACTCTTTAAAGTAGAGACACTACATACTGTTATACATCTGAACCTCAGCAGGAGAGGACTCTTTAAAGTAGAGACACTACATACTGATATACACCTGAACATCAGCAGGAGAGGACTCTTTAAAGTAGAGACACTACATACTGATATACACCTGAACATCAGCAGGAGAGGACTCTTTAAAGTAGAGACACTACATACTGATATGAATCTGAAAATGTGCATAATATATCCTCTTTAAAATGGACCCTATGTGTTGGAAACGCCAATCAAAGTTTACCTCCCAGCAGCAGGAGAACCATGAGGTCTGAGGAAGTCTTGAGCTGAGCAACGTCCTCCTCTCTCTCTCCGTCTACAGTCTGAGCCACCACCTCCAGGAGACACTCCACCAGGCCGGCCTCCACCAGCTGCAGCTTTATCACATCTGGCAGGGAAGGATGACACAGTTAAGACTGAAACGCACTGCTGCTGCACTGCAGTAATGCACCATATGATGTGCATCATGTGACGCAGAAAGCACACGAGACTCATCAGTGCTCACCATAAAGACCTGAAGTATAATATAGAAATGATGTCTTGTAAGTTAAGCTTTATTTACACACATTTTAGCAAAATCATAAAAGCATATGGAAATGTGAATCAATACCTGTTCCATCTACTAGCATTATGATAATATCAGATAGCTTAGGTCAGAGGTTCTCAATTGTTTTTCAGCCAAGGACCCCTTACAAGATAGAGAATACACCAAGGACCCCCTCATTCTGATTTGTGATTTTGGGCTATATAAATAAAATGTACTTGATTGACTTGTATGTCCCTTGGAATAATCTGACGTAGCCTATTTTTTACACTTCTATAGTCTTAGTTATGTGAAAGAACAACACAAGAGAAATGTATTAGAAATATATTGGATATGTATTAAAAATATTTGCACCATCTCAACACAGAATACCCATAAAACAATCAATCAATTAGCTGCAAGTAACACTGTACCTAAAGAAAATATCAAAGGGAAATCAAGAGAAAAGTGATCATTTGAAGTGCATTTCAGAAACACACACACACACACACACACACACACACACACACACACACCACACACACACACACACACACACACACACACACACACACACACACACACACACACACACACACACACACACACACACACACACACACACACACACACACACCACACACACACCCACACACACACACAACACACACACACACACACACACACACACACACACACACACACACACACATATATATATATATATAAAGATAACACATCAAGTGTTTCACTCTTAGTTAAATGATTTATAAAAGTCTAATCACAAAATAAATGCAGGCTATAAACAATTGAACACATGCCTGCATTGCAACATATATCAAGTAAATTGCAAAACAACTGTAACTGCATTGCTACAATCCCAAACCACTACTTGTAATGGCAGCCAGCTCTGGACACTATTGGAGTGATGCAAGGCAGTCCATGAAGCTGATTGCTTCTCTCTGCAAGTAAAGACACGCAAGGTGTGGCCCTTAGTGTGGGTGGGACCTTGGACATGCTGTGTGATGTTAAAGCACTCCAATAGTGACAGAAACTCAGCGGCAAAGGTGCAGGTGCTGGAGTCCACGTGGATGTTAAAATCACCTAGCAGTAGTGTGGATGGGGACATGGAGCAGATTGAGGTGAGAAGCTCAGACAACTCAGACATGAATGAGGTGGAAGGTTTGGGGGGGGCGGGTAAATGAGGACGACCTGCTGCTTTGAGGGGGCAGCCACTGAGAAGGCAATGCACTCAAGTGAGATTGTATTCGTCACAAGCAGCTGTTTGACAGGCAGGGATGCAACCTCATCAGGTATGAAAAAGGTGACAAGGACCCGAGACCCCCGACCCCACGGAATATCGGCTTTAAAATGAGGAATAACAGGATGTTAGCAGTCAGAACAACTAAAGCAGCAGGTAATAATAACAGAAACGCCAAAGAGTCACATCTAATAGAAATATATAAAAGCATTTATTTTAATTGTGTAGCAGTCAGTTTATCATTTTGGCAGCACTGTTGAGCATTTTGAAAATGTATTTCATGCCTCTGTGCAAGGCTTAGTCTTTCTATCTGTATAGCCAGTGGTGTAACTAAGTTCATAAACTCAAGTACTATACTTGGGTACAATTTTGAGATACTTTTGTACTTTATTTAAGTATTTCAATGTTTTGCTACTTTGTTCTTCTTCTCCTCTACAGAGGTACAATGTACCTCTCCAGAGGTACATTGTGTACTTTTCCTCCACTACATGTATTTAATCCCTATAGTTACTTCACAGATCTGGATGAATGATGTGAAATATAATCAAGTGTTAACTCAGACTTTAGTTCCACCTGGAGTAAATCCACAAGCTACCCTGCAGTATACAAAGTCATTCAGACTAGCTGCACCTTTACCAGCTTTGAGAACACTTTGATGATCAATCATTATAAAACATATCATATATATTATTCTGAAATGGACCAATCTGCACAATGACTACTTTTACTGTCGCTACTTTCACTATATTTTGATGAGAATACTTTTCTACTTTTACTTGAGGAACATTTTGAATGCAGGACTTTTACTGTAACAGAGTATTCCTACACTCTGGTACTTCTACTCAAGTACAAGACCTGAGTACTTCTACTTACTGTTGCTACTTTAACTATATTTTGATGATAATACTTTTGTACTTTTATTTGAGGAACATTTTGATTGCAGGATTGTTCCTACACTCAAGTACTTCTACTTTTACTCAAGTACAAGACCTGAGTACTTCTATTACTCTAGTACAAGATCTGAGTACTTCTACTTTTAATAAAGTACAAGATCTGAGTACTTCTACTTTTACTCAAGTACAAGATCTGAGTACTTCTGCTTTTAATCAAGTACAAGATCTGAGTACTTAGCTAGCTCAACGATAATATTGCAACAGAAAAACTTTTCAGTTCACATCACGCTCTGCCGCTCCGACAGGGAGCTCTGCTCTGAACACCTGAACGGCCCGTTCTAACAGCTGTTCACCAGCGGTCAGTCTGTGCCACAGTGACTCCGGACCACACAGTTAATATTAACGAATGCACCCGTAGGTAATGTGGCTGCTGAAGCTAGACCATCATCGCGGAGCAGCAGAGCCTTATAATACATCCATGAGCAGAGCCGAGAGGCAGGAAGACTCGAGCACACAGCTCGCGCTGCATATATAAAAAAAGAACACCATGCGTGTCATGATGGCACATAACAGCTCGCGGCCGCAGATTACTCCGGGTCCCAGACCCCCCCCCCATACCCCAACAATGTTTTTATTGCAGATCTACATGAATCACACAAACGACATATTTTGGATTCAAAACGGGGAATTTCGCCGAAAGGTGACAAGTTTGCATCCCTGGACAGGGATATCTGCTCTGTGGATGACTGCCAGCCCACCACCACGACCAATGGAGCGGGGCTGTTGGAGATAAGCATAACCTGGGGGGGGGGTGGCTAGGTTGAGTGTGAGGAAGTCCTGTGGTTTTGCCATGTCTCAGTGAGGCAGAGAAAATCCAATTTCCTATCAATGATGATTTCATTAATAAGTGATGCTTTGTTGTTAAGGGAGCGGGTATTTAACTACATGAATGTGTGGGAGTTGTTATATGTTGCAATGGCTGGTAAAACAGTGATGCCATCAACACAGGCCAAGGGCTTCAGGTTAACACTGTACACGTGTGGTTTGTTGTGATGACGTAAGTGGGCGGTGACGGGGCGCCGGGACCACACAGTTGGGATAGTTATGAAATACTATGACAGTAAAACAAGAATACAGTTTAAAAGGGGAGTGATTTGTAAAATATCCATAAAGAAAAAGAAAATCTGTTAACAGTTCCGTTTCATATGGGTGTTGAGAGATATATCCATAAATTCATTTTGCTCTCAAAGTGCACCAGGTTGATGCTTTTAACTTCAATATTGTAAAAAAAAATCTTTCCGGGGGAGCATGCCCCCGGACCCCCCTAGAGGAGGTGAGGACCCCCCCCCCCCCACACTTATAAAATAGCAATTTAACTCTGCTTACACCTATATGCCATTTTATATGCTGTGAGCTGATTATCAAGCCTTCAATGTAAGAGTCGCGGGTACACTGTATGTGCGTATTTCACTGTAGCGCCCGGGACATTAATGGGAAACCCTAGTTTGTACATGTTCAATACATTTGTAACACTGTACACATGAACGTTTCTTTTTTCGGTTCACCAAAAAAAAAATCTCACTCCAAGCTGAACTCAAATGTTGGCAGCCCTGGACTTGTAATGCAGACTAAGAAAAATAATCTGAAGATGTAATGATTGCACGTTAACAGTTCTAAAATAGTATAGAAAAAACCCCATCAATAGGCACTTTCACACCAAGTACTTTGCAGTTCATCAGAACTCTTTAGTTCTGATGAACTAAAGAGAAGATCACGTTCACACCGGAATAAGTCCCTGAGGGAGGATTAGGCAAATGAAGCCGCTGACGTCACTTCTTCTTCTTTGGGTTTACTGGCAGGCCGCAAACAACTTCACGGTGTATACTGCCACCCGAAGTCCCCGGAGTTGGGGACTGGCTTCCGAGTAAATCGCCAGAACGCCGACACCTCCTCATCTCCACCGCTCCCATTTTTCTTTTGTGTTGCCATAAGTTAGTCTCTCTGCGTTGGTGCGCTGGGCTAATGCTAATAATGCTAATGCCAGCAAATACAATGGCGGCTTCACAAACCTTTCCGAGTTTTACGGGGCCTGGTTTGCAATCCTTCCAGCCAATCAGAAATGGGAAACCTTTTCTCCCATGAAAGTACCTGCTCTCTAGCAGGGACCAAAAAGGGGTGAAAAGGTTCTCATGAACTTAGTTCTAGTTCTGGATTTTTTTGGTGTGAACACAACATTTCAAGAACTATCGGAACTATACTGGGAAAAGTACTCCGGTGTGAAAGCGCCTATAGTCTGCTTTTTTACAGTTTGCAGTTGTTAGGAAATTATTTTGAATGTGTCCCTTCTATGTTAGGACAATTTGTGAAAACCTAAACAATTGAGCAGTAAAAAGTCAAGACAACAATCTAGAAATTGTCACGGTTAGATTTCTTTATCTGTATCTGACAGGATGCAGAGCGGCGGAATGAAACAGATCGAGAGAGAGCTTTCTCTAGAGTGGAGTTAAGTAGGACGTTGTCCTGGAGACTGACAGTGTGGGAGCACCCAGTGTGCCTGGAATGGTGATAACAACAGCAAGTGTAACACACACACACACACACACTCACACACCACACACACACACACCACACACACACACACACACACACACACACACACACACACACACACTACACACACACACACACACACACACACACACACACACACACCACCACACACACACACCACACACACACACACACACACACCACACACACACACACACACACACACACACACACCACACACACACACACACACACACACACACACACACAACACACACACACACACACACACACACACACCACACACACAACACACACACACACACAAAACACAAAAGGGCAGCTGAGCCAATGCAGGAGCTGTCTGCCATGACTGTGCAGATAGCAGCTATCCCGGAAAGCATGACTCACACTGAGGGGATAATTTACTGAGGAGTAGGCGGACATGATTTTAATCTAAACGCTAGAGAGAGCACCGCAGTCTCTCTATTTTATGTCCTAATCTCTTCCCTTCACCGTACAGTGGATACGGCATTCGGTAAGACTTATTAATGAAAAAGAGATGAAAGAAAAATCCCATTACCGTTTTCTGCAAGTGGAGCCAGAACTTCAAAAATCATTTCCTTCTTCTCGTGTCTGTCTGCTTCTGGAACAGACGCACCAGCTCCTCAGCGATATTGGTGGAGGCAAACTGTTCTTTGCTGGACTCTGAAAACACCAGAGCAGAGTCAGAGGAGGAGAAATCCTTTACGTTCTATGTTTTAGTGCATGTAAATGGTCTGCAAAGGCAAACATCCCTGTGTTCTCTCCAGAGGGAGTTTCTCTCCTACAAACTCCCCCCCCTGCCTGAAACGCTTCCATGGGACTCCTTTGTTTACTTCTGTAAGATAGTGACATCACTACGTAACACTGACGCTTCTATTGGCTAGCACTCCAACACAATGTACGTGAGGCTAAGGGGCGGGACATCTCTAAGCAGTTTGACCAATCACAACAGAGCCAGCCAGCTAACCAATCAGAGCAGACTGGGCTCTGGTTTCAGACAGAGGGTGAAAAGAGGTGCTGCAGCACAGGCAGTATGAGAACAATAAAGAGCTTTAGAACATTAAAGCATGGAGACATGTCCCAGAAGAGAAAACCAAATACATTCTGAAACCTGAAAATGAGCATAAAAGGGCCTCTTTATAAATGTGTGGATTCTGGCAGTCGTTATATTTAAAGACATTAATTATACTGGATTAAGCTAAAACAGATATTCAGGTATACTCACCAAGCTCGGCCAAATTTCCAAAGGCAATTAGACACATTTCTGTCAGGGCTACGTTGTCGGAGTGGATGCCTAGCAGCTTCACCAGAGTGGGAATCACACCCATATTGATCAGCTGAGCTTGTAAGGAATCTGCAAAAAACAAAGATAGGGAAGACAGGCAGTTGATCCATTGTTCTAATCGTAATGTTAGATTGCTGAAATGTGATCACCATAATGCTATTTCATTCAATAAATGCTATGAAAAAGAGAAAATAAATCTCTCCAGGATTTCAATGAGCTTGCTAAAAGTCCTTCAGCCTTTACTTAGTGGCTTATGGTGGCCTACAGTACGTTAGCAAAACTAAAATGCTGTTGCGTAATTGATGCCACTGATTTTGCGGGTCAATCAGGACTTTATTCCCCCTTAAAACGTTGAATCTCATTTTCTAATTGAATGCATGTGCCTACATAATATCTGCATGAAATTAGTCATTCGGCCCACACCCTATACACATCACAGGGAGCGGAGAAGAAGTGGTAGAGCTCAGGAGAAATGTGAAAAAGGAAAGATAAGTATTAAAATGTATTTCTTAATTAGAAACCAGGGTGAACAAATCAATGGCGGAGAAAGACACAAGTGGGAGGATGACCATAAAAAAACAGGAAGGAACAAGTTGAGTTAAAGTCTCAAGAACAATTCTCAAAAGATCTCATCAGGCCCTTACTTAATTAATGTCAATCAAAACGTACAGTAGCAGGGCAACCTAACCCTTCAGCAGAAGAACAGTATATTTGGAGGCAGGTGGTGAGATGTCAAAGAAAGTTCAAGTTTTTTGTTGTTGATATTCTCTTCTCGTAACTAGCCATTTGCAGTACTGAATTAAGCCAAAACTGTTGCCATTACAGAGTAACTAACGCGCACAGACAACTTTATCTTTAAACTTTAACAACAATTCCCACTTAGCACACAATTGCAATCCTTAAAAAATATTTATATTTCAATACTAGCACTCCTGTTAATGCATTGCCCTCATTGAAGAACAGTTAAAAGATTCCTGCTTGTAGCGGATGCTGATGATTCAGTGTTTGATTTAGTAAGTGCGAAGTTGTTATTTCAACATTAGGAAAGTTTTGAGGAGTCAGCTAGAAGCTGGAAGAAGATGCGGAAGATGCTGGAAGCTGCTGGAAGCTGCAGAAAGCCACAAAACCTCATTCATTCTGTTAGAGCAACCCAACACCAAAGAATCACCCGGACAAATAGAAGCAACCCATTGTCCAGTGCCAACAGAAACTTGGCAGGAGATGTGAGTCCGTCAGATCAAATACTTGCTCCTGTATACAAGCCTTGTTGTCACAAAGACAGAAAACTGTAGCATAGTCCAGAAAGAAGATGCATGGATGGAAACAGTACATTGTACATTTTAAAGTATGTATATAGAAAGAATCTGGATAGATTATGGAGATAGAAACATATGGAAGAGAAAGCATACTGAAAGTACACTGTAGGATAAACTGCAACCTTTTTGAGCATGGGAACATAAAAGCTTGATAAAATGACTTCATCCTGTTTTTCTTAAAAAATGTTGGTTATTTTATTGAAAATCTGTACAATGCTAAAAAGATAAGGCCTGTTTAAGGCTAGATTGATTCATTTATTTACATTTTACACAAGTTACCCAACAGGTTCCTATGTATAGACTCCCTACCTGACAGGATAGATCAACTTCTTGTTAAATAAGCCTATTCAGTTATTTAATTTATTTTCAGACCATTACATCCTGGTTGGTGTGGCAGTACAGACAGGAGTCAAGATGTAGTTAGCCTAAGCTTAGCATCAAGTCTGAAAGGAAGGTTAGCTAGCCTGGCTCTGGTCAAAGTGAATAAAAAAGATAGACCCACCAACCATTTTGAATTGGATTAACATGTATTTCCTTATTTGTTTATCAGAACACAAGAGAGAAATGTAGAATCTACAGCCATATAGGCTCTGTGAGGCT